GGGCTCAGACCTGTGTCGCACCCCCAGGAGACTTGTGGCTGTGTCATGCCCAGGCTCCCCGAGATGGAAATGGCATGTTCTGGTTCTTAGAAAGGTTGGAGGGTCAGCTGTTCTGTCCTGAGCTGGAGCACCATCATGCTCTCACTGGCTGTCTCCCTGCCTTGCCTTGTAGTCTCAGCCTGGCCCTTGGCAGCGCAACCCTCTGCCCTCTCTCTGGCTCCTCTGTTGGAGCCTCATCTCCTCAGTGAATCCTACTGAGAGCAGAGAAAGTCAGAGAAACACAAAGGGCTCCTGAGAGAAATGGGCTGTGTGTAAGGCTGAGGAGGTGAGGTGGCTTGCTTGCTGACATTAAGCTTTCAGGTGCCTCATGCCGACTTGCTCTGTCCCTGGGGTCAGCCTTGGGAATTGATACGTGAGGAAACCGAGACAGGCATGTAGCTTAGCGTCTTTCCCATTTGGGACAAGACTGTTCTGTCTTCTCACCCCCTGTGTCTCCAGGCAGCCCTGCCAGGAGGTGGAGCATACACCTCTCCTTCTAAATGAGGGAGCAGAGGTGCTTGGATGTCCACTGAAGGCAGTGACGGCCTCTTGCCTGTCCCTCCGAAAAACTGAGTCACTGCAAGGCTTTGAGCTGGTTTTTCTGGGGCTCCAGAATGTAGGCCTGGGTAGAAGAGGAGGAGAACCCCGAATGAGAGAAAATGATGATGAAAGGTGGGTGAGAGCCACTGTCCTCCTCAACTCCTCTTTTCACTTTCCTTGTGTTGGGGACGTTGACCCAGCAAGTGTCTTTACCTGAGAGATGGCTATGGAGAAGGCCAAGGGCATCTGAGGAGACCTAAGCTCAACCTGCAGACTGTGTGTTTTCTGTTTTCTCCTCTTGTCTCAGTGTCTTGTCTAGGAATGTGAGAACAACCTAACCTAAGGGTTCCCTCAGCAACATAGGGCACCCCCACTCCCCTGCCTCCGCCCTGACCAAGCTCTTCAGAGGGCCCCTTCTAGCCTACCCCAACCCCTCCCTGCTTAGTATCTCTGTCAGATCTCTTGTTGAGTGTGTGTGTGCATGCACCTGTGTGTACCACTCTTTGTTCTCCTGGAGTCTCTTTGACCCCTCAGACTCTGCACCTGACAAGGCTCTCTGTAGTCTGGCATGTTGTCTAGGATCGATATGTTAGTCACATCCCAGAACACCCCACAACACCTTATCACAGGGCAAGTCTGTCTCCAGCAGGAAGGAAGGAAGCCGGTTGTTGCGGGTTTTGGCTCATGGACTTGTACTCTAAGGTGTCATAGAGTGGAGGCAGGGTGTGGGAGCGGGCCCTGTGCTTGGAGACTCCCCACAGAAAGCAGTACTGGGAACCGGCCCCTTGACATAGACCCCAGAATCTCCTGCTGCAACCACTGCCTTCTACCGGTAATGGCCGTTGGCCCCCCGCAGATCTGTTCATGGCTGGGCAGTGGATAGGTTCTGTGAGGCCCTGAGATCCAGGTCTCCAGACTTCTTGTTTGAGGCTGTGAAGTCTCACTCTGTTGTCACTGTTCTTAGCCTTGGGTCCTGGACCTCATGGCAGAGGACAGGGGCCCCTTCCACTCGGTCTCAAGTGTCAGACCGTGGGCTGGGATCATCCACTTCTAGATGCAATGCCCAGCCGGGGTTCCTCAGAGTCTGGGTGGGGCTTCTGTTCTAAGCAGTGCTGGTTTTTTTCTGGCTCCTTCCTGGGTACAGGGTTGACATGGCTCTGGCTAGGAAGAAGGCTGGAGGTGGGGAGTGCCTGGGGCTGTAGGGCTGGGGGTCTGGTGGCCTCCAAGGCCAAGGAAGGCTGTTTTTGTCTTCCTGGGACCACAGTTACAGGTGGGGATGTGTTTGTTGTTCTCTGTCCTGCCATCCTCTGGTTCTGCGGTCAGGCTCTTCCTCTGCTTCTTTTCTGTGTCTTGTTAATTTCTCCTCTCCATCTCATCTCCCTCCCTCCCTTCTCTCTTCCATCCCCTCCTTCGCCCCTGTTGCCTCTCCTTGAGACACACACTGCTTCTTTGCAAGGGTGGAGCATTGGGGTAGACAAGCTAGAGTGCCAGGTTGACCCTTGGGCCAGGGGTGCTCCCTCCCTCTTCACCCCCCCAGAGCTGGGCTCTCACCAGCTACAGAATCTGGGGGTGGGAATGGCAGTGTATAGCGTGCTATTTACAAAGAGGAGGCTCTGCCTGCACACCCACCCCGCAGCCCTAGATCACGGTGTGGGAATCCCCTTCCTCCCCGACCCTACCACTGCATCCCCCACCAGGTGACTCTGAGGCACAGAGGGGGCCGGAGCAGGTGGGCTCTCAGCAGTGCTTGGGGGTGGGGTGGGGGAGCACAGGCAAGCAGCAAGCCGTGGATTCTGATTTACATAAAATAACCGGGCTGCAGCCGGAACCTGAGCATATGTAGATGAAACTCCCTGTCAGACCGGAGCGCAGGAGGGAGAACTGATTTCAACCTGTACTGCAGCGGTTGCCATAGCAACCAATTATTCAGTGCTAAATTATAACTGTTTATAACACTGGTGAATGGGAAGGCTCATATTTCATTCTTTCCTTTTCCCTCTCCCGTCTTGAAGGACCCCAAGTCGAGAATGACCCAACTCCCCGAGTTCTTCCTTTGAGCCCAAGCGCTTTTTATTTTATTTTATTTCAGGAGATGTTATACACATGCTGGGCATAGAAGGGAGAGGGCAGCGAGACAGGAGGCCTGGATTTAGGAACTGAGAGTGGAGAAAAGAGAAAGGGCGGTGTCGGGCTGCCTACTTGGGGTCCCCGCCAGCCATGACTGGTGTGCTTTGCCCTCAGCAGGCAAAGGGGCTCCAAGCAGAGACCCCTCTTCACCCTCAGCTTGGGTGTGGCATCTTGAGGTGCTTTGCATATGTACCCTAAGGTTCTTCTTACAGCCTCTAGCGCACCACTTACAGTCACACCCAGGGTTGTTTCCACGAAGGACACTGCCAAGGTCAAAGGCCCAACCTGTTAATTCTCGAGGCCTGTTATGGGCTTTGGTTTCTCTCAGACCTCAGGGCAGAGGTTGGTTTGTGGGATTTATTGGAGTTATTGGTCTGTGTCTCCTTCCCACCTCAACCCCTGGTAAGTTTTTTAAGACGGGGTCTCACGAGGTGACCTCTATATAGTCAGGCTGATCTCAAACTCAGAGATCCACCTGCCTTTGCTTCCTAAATGGTGGGATTAGAGGTGTCCTCATCTGGTTCTTGGCCGGATTTTCCCCCAGGTCCTCCTGACTGACGGCCCCTCTGTGAATGCTTTTCAGATCCAGTTGTGGGGGTCCCCCCCTGCTTGAGAGGCAGGATGTTTTTATGATGTGTCGGGGGAGGAGTGTGGAAACAGCTGGGCTGGACTCATTCTGCCTTGCCTGTGGTGCACGCGTGTGAGGGCGTGGCTGTGGGGGTGGCACAGGCCGTGCTGGCTTCATCTGGAAGGGGTGGGGCAGGGGAAGAAGAGAGATGGGCTGGAGGTCAGAGTCTTCTCTCCCCAGGAGTAAGAGGTGGACATCTGGCCTGTGCTTTGGTGGTTGACTGGAGGAAAGGGGCGCCAAGCCTGAGATCCACCCTGCCAGGCTTCCAGCTCAGTTTACCGTGCTCTGGAGTGTCCTTCGGCGGAATCCAGGCCAGGCTTTCAGCTTCAGCCGTGCCCCGCCCCCTATCAGTGCTGTGCACAGGCTGCTGCTGCTTCTGCCAGACGCTGCAGTCTGCTGGAGGCGCCTTCCGGCCTCCCTCTGTGCTGGCCACTCCCGATCTCGTGTCTGCTTCCCAGGGCATGTTCTGGCCAGCTACCAGGCAGAGTCATGTTGTCTACCCATAGTGTCACCCAGCTGCCCGTGACCCATGTGTGTCTGGCTTTGGTTCTGTCCCAGTGGATAGAAGTGGGACAGGACCTGTTACCTCCACTACATATCTGCTCCCCAGGCAGAGTCATCAGCATTTTGGGGTGTTGTCCCTGTGAAGGGCATCTGTGGTTCTGAATGCAGACCACTCTGAATTCCCTGCCAGGACATGATGAACAACTCGCTTTCATGCCACCCCAGTCTCTGGGTACAGCATCTTCATGTCAGGGCCTCCATGTACACAATCCCGCATCAGGCCTGAGCGAGCTGGAGGCTCAGGTTGTTACCACGACCTGCACATGTCCCAGGCTTTCAAAGACCCACAGGCGGCCGTGCAGGAATCCACACTGGGTTGTTTGACCTCTACTATGGTGGAGGCCCTGGACTTCCTTCTCTAGGCGGGCTTCAGCTGTGTCTGTGGTGCTGAAGTACTTGACCTCTACTATGGTGGAGGCCCTGGACTTCCTTCTCTAGGCGGGCTTAGATGGTGCCCTCTATCTCCTCTATACACCTGTTTTGGGGTGAGTGCTGGAGCTTTCAGATCTCTTGAACATCGTCTGAGAGAGCTGGCTGGTCTGTGTCGCCTGGGGTCCCCATCTGACTCCCACTTTTTCATGACATAGCCTGGGAACTGTGGCCTTAGGGCTCCATATCACTGCTAGCTGTGGGAGCTGCGAGCTGTCTCTTGGCTGCAGACCAGAGTCAGTATTCTGGGAAAGCAAGGAGGCCTTGGCAGTGCACAGACATGGGGATTGATTAGCAGGTGACAGGTTCGAGAGCAGGATTCTTAGAGGGGGGATTGAGATGAGCTTCTAGGAGACCGTATGGGTGGGGGTCTTCCCAGCTGGACTGCAGGGGGACACCCCATCAGTGACATGTCTAACCTCAGCTAACTGATAGGGCGTGCTGGCTTGGAGGTTCACTATTGGGAAAGACAGGAGAATGTTGAGGGCCCTCCAAGATTCTCCAGGCAGACCCTATTGCCCTCCCCTGTGTCTCCCATCATCTCCTCTCCTGCTGTCCTGCTTTTTTCTCCGTCCTGAGCTCCAGCCTGTCCAAGGTGTTTCCTTCCAGGAACAGTATCTTTCTGGTGGGCTATGACTGTAAACACGCTCATCTCCATATAAATGGGCCATTTTCTGCTTGTACAGTCAGGAAACAAAATCAAAGAGTCAATCTTAAGATCTTTTCTACCGTTGAGATGGAGTGGCCAGCCTGGAGACAGGCTTGTACGGTGGTGGCCTCTGGAGGGCTTCACTCGAGTACAGGGTATGGGGTGAGTGCCAGAGGATGGATCAGCTCCGGCTTGGAGCTCTTCTTTTGTACTTTGGTTTTCTACTCTGGTTGTCATGGCCTCTACCAGGAGTTCCTGGAGTGGAGTGCCATCATGCTTCCAAAATCCACCATGACTAAAGCAGAAGCTGAGCTTGCCTGGGGCTAGCCATACCACACTTCCCGGGGAATCCTGGTTTCACCATTTTTTCAGTCACTTCTGCTCATGCTCACTCATCAGTGCACCGTGGGTGAATATGCAGGCCTTGCTGCTCCAGATCTCTGGCATTCCGGGGTGTCTGGCACCCTCACCATTCCCCTGTCTTTTCCAGGGGAGCAATGATGAACTGTCAGAAAATGAGGAGGATCTGGAAGAGAAGTCGGAGAGTGAAGGCAGCGATTATTCCCCCACCAAGAAGAAGAAGAAGAAACTGAAGGAGAAGAAGGAGAAGAAAGCCAAGCGGAAAAAGAGGGATGAAGATGAGGATGATAATGACGACGGATGCTTGAAGGTAATTGCTGGAGCGAGGGCCAGGCAGGAGTGTGGAGGTGCCCTCAGAGCCCGAGTCAGGGAGGCCACACGGACCTCTGTGCATGTGGAAGTCAGGCATGGGTCATGAGAACCTAGGAGTTTTCGGCTGCCTCGGTGCAGCGTCTTGCTGACTGCTCTTGGCAACAGCATGCTCACCGAGCATGCAGCTCTTTCTGGAGAGAATGATACATAGTGTGAGCTCATGTTTGGTGTCAGGAACCTTTTGCTTCAAACAAGTAGAGTCTTTGCCACAAGCATCTGCTGGACAGCCCTGAGTGGCGGGCCCTGCCTGGGTACTTGGTGCATTCCTCCAGTCTCTCAATGAACGTGGAGCTGCATGGCTGTGGCTGTAATGGGCCTGGCTGTCTTTTGGGCATAAACGTCTTTGTCACAAAGCAAGTCAAGGCATCATAGTTGAACTGAGGCCATCCCCCGAGCTGTGAGGTGTGGGTGGGCGACCTCATGTCACCAGGAATAGTTTGTGGCAACATAAACCTCAACAGTCAGGGTTGGGTGGCAGATCACTATGAATGATTGAAGACTGGAGCCCTTAGGGGAGCAGTGCTTACATGGGGATGTCCTGACACCCACTATGAACCCATTAGTCACTGGTGGGTGTGCTGTGAGTCAGCTGTGATTGGTAATAGCCTTGGGGACCGTTTTGAGAAATTAACTTCCATGGGCTACTGAGCTGTTGTGGAGCCAGGTTCCTAAGCCCTCTTGCTTTGTGGGATTTTTCTGGGACATAGGTACTGGGGACCAGGGAAGGTTTGTGTACCAGTTGTGTGGCCTTCCACTGCAGGGGCCGAAAGTCAGCTTTAAGGCTGTGGACATTTCTTTCTCTCCTCTGTGGGTGTCTGATCAGAAAGGTCAGGGACTGTGGCAGAGAAAGGAGTGTGCTGATTGGCTTAATGGGTGAAGGCTGGGGCAGAAGGGTGTCTATATCTCACTGCTGGTATCTAGGAGAGTCATGGCTCAGTGCTTAAGAGCACTAGCTGCTCTTCCGGAGGATCCGGGTTCAATTCTCAGCAACCACATGGTGGATCACAACTGCAACTCTAATGTCAGGCGGATATGACACCCTTTTCCGCAAACGCCTTTAATCCGCAGGGGCAGGAGGATTTCTGTGAATTGACCCCTGCTCACTAGGCCATCATGACCTCTAGCTCTCTGACCTCTGGGGTGGCCCTTGGGGACCTCTTTCAGGACTGCCCTTTGCTGGGCCACAGCTTCAGTCTCTTCACTATGCCCCATTCTACCAGAGCAGCCTGGGCTTGTCTCTGGCCTGTTTCCCCCGGCTGTCTGCTTCCACTTTCTGGAGAAACACATGTGAACTTTCCCCAGTGTCAACATTAAAACTCACAGCAGCCTGTACGCTGGCATCCCAGATGCCACTGGGGGTGGTCGGGATAGGTGGGTGAGGCTTTCTGGTGTCCCAGTGGCAGGTGAGAATTGTTCTTAGGTTGCAGATCAGAGCAGGCCAGAGGCCTCTGCCCTGATCCCACCTCTGGCCATGACTCTGCAGGAGCCCAAGTCCTCGGGGCAGCTCATGGCGGAGTGGGGCCTTGATGATGTGGACTACCTGTTTTCAGAAGAAGACTACCATACTCTGACCAACTACAAGGCTTTCAGCCAGTTCCTCCGGTGGGCCAGGGGCAGGCTGCTGTGGCGGGGATGGGGGAGGGGGTTGTGCTTGCCTGAGGGGCACCAAGTGGGGGGAGGTAGATGGAGAGGCAGCTGGGGCTCCTTAGTAGATGAGGACTAGCAGAGGGCTGGGCCTACTTCCCTGTCCTGGGCCCTCCTGTGGGGAAGGGCCTGCTGTAGGCTCCTCTCTGGGATGCCAGGGTGTGCTCTGGTGTCATTTTTGTCCTTTCCCTGTCCCACTTTCCCTCCCTCACCTTCCTGTCTCCTCCACAGGCCGCTCATTGCCAAGAAGAACCCGAAGATCCCCATGTCCAAAATGATGACTGTCTTGGGGGCCAAGTGGCGAGAATTCAGCGCCAACAACCCATTTAAGGGTAGCTCAGCGGCGGCGGCTGCGGCGGCTGTAGCCGCCGCTGTGGAGACTGTGACCATCGCTCCTCCACTTGCCATCAGTCCCCAGCAGGTGCCCCAACCTCTGCCCATCCGCAAGGCCAAGACCAAAGAGGGCAAGGGTAAGGCTGTGGGCCAGTGGGCACTGAGGCCTGTCTGGCAGATCTGCCCCCCTTCCCCCAGATCCTACAGGCCAGCTGGGGCTCTCCTTATGGAAGACCCAGTGTTTTCTGTGACCTCAGGCTGATTGCCCTTTTCACAGCTTCTGCCCTGTCTCCTGGTGGGGAAGGGTGGGGGAGGGGAGGAGTTGTGGGTCTTTGGGAGTTAACATCTGCCCAACTACTCCCACACTGTGGGCATGGGGGCAGGAGGGGTGGTCCACAGCAGAACTTATTCCAGCCCACCCTAGCCCCTACTGTGGTCGTGGAGGTGGGGGTTCACAGATGGAGTAGCTCCAGCCCTGGACTTATACTTCTGATCCTCTCATGGGAGCCCTTCTGCATCAGGGTCTTTCTGTGTCAAGTTCCTGTGCAGGGATGTCTCAGGAGGGTGTAACCAGGGCTGGAAGGACAGCAAGGAGGCCCAGGTCCAGTCTGACTCCATGCAGATGGGATGGGAGGGCAAGCAGGGCTTTCTGCTTCCGAGGGACCAGACTGCAACCTGGGTGGAAGTTCTGTCGCCATTGACCTCCCCTGGGGGAACTTTAACTCCTCTGTATTCTATGTTCTGATTTGGGATTTGATGGACTGAGAGGAGTCTGGGGGTCCCCATGTGTCAGCCCCGTAGAGTTTTGGTGTCCAGGACAATGCTGAGTGTTGTGTCTGGCATCTCTATTTTATGTCCCAGAGTACCTGGTGGGTGAGTGCCTTGGGCCACATGGTTCGTCTTCTCTTGCCCCTTCTTTGTGCCCCCCAATCTTTCCTATTTTCACACTACCACCTGCCCAGGAGCTACTGCTGTTGATGCCCCGAGCAGCCGATTCAGAGCTCAAATAGCTGTTTTGTGGCATAGCCTGTGTGCAGCTGGGTCCCCATCTTCATGTCCTTGTGTGTGGTGTAGCCATAGGAGAACTGGGCAGGGCAAGGCAAGGGTGTGAATCCTATGGGCAGCTTGGGTGGGGACGGGGTAGTTATTCCCTAGGTGGCTAATCACTGCATTGCCAGCTGCACACACGAAGATTCCAGCCTGTAGCTCAGGATGATAGGAAAGTTGGGGTAGCCATGGAGGTGCCTTGAGCCCATGGTTTGGGAGGCTGGTGGCCTGGCTTTTGGTACCAGGATGTGATTCTAGGGACCAGGTGGGCAGTGTTGCTCTGGCCGTCTGCCCTGCTGGTATGGTAGCTGCTGTGCTCCTTGGAAGCAAGTGAGCTGGGTAGTGTAGAGGCTGTTATCAAGTTGGTAGGCATTTCACGTGTCCATAGCTGATGACAGCATGGTGTCCAAGACAAGACTTGAGTCAGGTTTGTCTCCTGATTACTTCCCATGTAACCTAAGCAAGAAAAGGGGTGACAGCATACGTGACCCAGTCCTCACTGGGGTGTTGGAGGCTCAGTGAAGTGGTGGGGGAGAACTGGGCCGTCAGTGGCAGTGTTGGTCATTGCAGCCCTTGTCACAATGCCCAGGGCCTGGAGTGAGGAAGAAGAACAAAGGCGCCAAAGACTCCAAGAAAAAGGGGAGGGGCAAGCGCGTGGCGGGGCTCAAGTTTCGCTTTGGAGGAGGCATCAGCAAGAGGAAGAAGGGTTCCTCGGTGAGTGTGTGCCTGTGTGTGTGCGCGCGCGTGTGTGGTGTGCATGTGTGTGTGCGTGTGTGTGTGTGTGTGCATGTGTGCGCGTGTGGTGTGTGTGTGTGTGCGCATGTGCCTGTGTGTGTGCGCGCGCGTGTGTGGTGTGCATGTGTGTGTGCGTGCGTGTGTGTGTGTGCATGTGTGCGCGTGTGGTGTGTGTGTGTGTGTGTGTGCGCGCGCACGCGCGCACATGTGAGACAAAGTGGGGTGGGGAGCGTGCTTCTATGTTCAAGGGGGTGAGGGTTGGGCTAATTTGACCAGAGAGTGGGCCACATTCATTTTCGGAGCCAACTGAGGCAAGCCCTGCACCCTTCTCCCAGGCCCTGCACGTACAGGCCTGCTGGGTCTCAGTTTCCCTGTTTTTGGTGTGGACTGAATCCTTCCAAGGGCTCATGTAGCTTAGACTCTGACTACCCTGTTGACCTGGGAGCTCATCTGTGGCTGCTGCTGTCCACAGTGAGGCTCCATCAGGCTGGGGGGTGGGAGGGTCAGCTGTCCCTTCACAGGTGTGCCCCGAGGGTGGTGCCCTGAGAGGTGGCCTGTTTGGCCAGGCTGGCTGGAGCCATGATTCCTCCTCTAGCCCTGTGTCTCATCTTTCTCTCTAAATGGGGGCATCTTCTCACCTCACCCCTGCTGGGCAGATGTCTCATCTCCCAGCTCTGCTGAGGGGCACAGAAGAGGGCTGGAGCTTTTCTATGTCACTTGGTGGGGGCAAGTGCCAGGTCATGAGGTTAGCTGCTCTTGAAGGGAGCAGGGTTCTGCCCTAGGGGTAGCAGACCAGCTCAGCTCCTAAGGAGCCATTAATCCACCAGGCATGTGCACTGAGAGAGATCTGTGGACATTCCCTAGTAGAGGGGTTCTTTAGGGCTGCCCTGGAAGGATGTGTAGGGGTTTGGCAGTTGGAGGTCAGAGCCTGGGGAAGCTGTATGGAGCAGGACTGTGGAGGCATCAGGGATGGTGGGGCAGTGCTGGCTGTGCACTAGTACAAGTTTGTGGCCGGGCTAGGGGACAGCAAAGCCACAGGGAGGCTTCAGATCTTCCTGACAATGCCCTACCCAAACCATCAACCCAACCTCCTTCCCTGCAGAGTGAGGAGGACGAGCGTGAGGAGTCAGATTTGGACAATGCCAGCATCCACAGCTCCTCGGTGCGCTCCGAGTGCTCTGCAGCTCTGGGAAAGAAGAGCAAGAGGAGGCGCAAGAAGAGGAGGAGTAGGGTTCCTCCCCCAGGGGCGGGGACTCGTCCCCCAGGGGCGGGGACTCCTCTTCGAAGGGCGGGGCTCCTCTTCGAGGGGCGGGGCTTTTCCATGATTGGGGGGGAGCGCAGAGTCGGGGAAGGGTATCCTCATGCCACAGGCTCTCCCAGCCTCAGCCAGGCAGTCTCCGTGTGCTCTCTCAGCCACCCTTGTCCACTGTCTTGTCCTAGGCAGGAAGGAGTAAGAAAGCTGTAAGAAGCCCTAGCAGAGCCGGGAGTGGAGGAGAGACTTAAACTCACTCGATCCCCGTCAGTTACCCACACCAAATACCCCACCTCTCCCTCTTCTCTCCTTCTCTCTTTGGCTTTTGAGACAGGGTCTCACTACGTAGCTCTAGTTGGTCTAGAACTTGCTATGTAGACAGGGCTGGTCTTGAATTCTTAGAGATGCCTCTGCCTCCCAAATTCTGGGATTAAAGGCGCGCGCTCCCTGCTATTCTTCCTCCCATGTGCACCACTCACTGTCCTCCCTCCCTCCCTCCCTCCTCCCGTCCGTCTGTCTTTTACCCATCTCTGTCCACCTTGACACCTCACAGCCACCCCCAATAACTGTTCACGCCCTTGGTCTGTCTCCCCATCCACGTGAAATCGTTTAAGCACCTGCCACGCGGGGCGCGCGTCTGGCCCGGGGTAGCGGGAATGGTTGTGTTGGCAGACCTCCATCATCGCCTCTCTTCCCCAATCCAGTTGATGACGGCGACGGCTATGAGACAGACCACCAGGACTACTGTGAAGTGTGCCAGCAGGGCGGGGAGATCATTCTGTGTGACACGTGCCCGAGGGCCTACCACCTGGTCTGCCTGGACCCGGAGCTGGAGAAGGCTCCGGAGGGCAAGTGGAGCTGCCCACACTGTGTAAGCTGGGGCCGAGGTCCGGACTGGCGTGGGTGGGCCATCGCCTGGGGACTGGTGCCTGGGGGAGAGGCCCCGGCCCAAGCGTCACCCACCTGGACTCTTGCCCCCTGCAGGAGAAGGAGGGGATCCAGTGGGAGCCGAAGGACGATGACGAGGAAGAGGAGGAGGGCGGCTGTGAGGAGGAGGAGGACGATCACATGGAGTTCTGCCGCGTGTGCAAGGACGGTGGCGAGCTTCTGTGTTGCGATGCCTGTCCCTCCTCCTACCATCTGCACTGCCTCAACCCGCCGCTGCCCGAGATCCCGAACGGTGAATGGCTCTGCCCGCGCTGTACTGTGAGTGTTAACACCTGCCCCGCCCCGCCCCGCCCTGCCCCGCCCTGCCCCGCCCAAGTCGCCCCGCCCACCTGACCCTGAGCCCGCCCTTGCTGGCCCAGGCCACGCCCCCAACAAAGCTCGCCCTCAAAGCTCGCCCTCACCCAGCCTGCCCTCTCTGGAATCCCCTTAAGGACTGTTGGTTGAGAATTTATTCTGAGCTAAGAGCCACGCATTCCTACTGGGCACTGAACCCAAGAGGCCTCACACTGAGCTCTAACTCCATCCCTCAATGGACTTTCAAACATGATTTTGGAGTTGCTTGGGCGTGGAATCCAGAGCCTCTATGCCAGGCAAGATCTTACCCATGAGCTACATCCAAGCTCGTCTTCCGCAGGAAGAGGCTCAGGGAGGCACAGTGGCTTGCTCAAGACCACACTGCAGCAGAACTTTCCGCTTGGATTCCAGTCCCTAGGCACCCTGGACCTGGTGTTCCCAGGCTGGGTTAGTGACAGAGTGGTGGCCCCATAGCCTGGAGTCCCATTTTAGGAAGGGAGGAAGGAACATTCTCCCCAGGTCTCTTGACTGGAGTCCTGTATGCATCTGAAGATCCCCTGTGGGAGTTGTTCTGTGCCCCGGTACTGGATACCCTGCGCCATAGGTTCTGGGCTCTATTGCAGCTTCCCTCTGTCTTGTGCATACACCTGAGCTGGTGCTACATGTTAGTATCACGTGTGTCTGCATATCCTTGTGTGTAGGGATGGAGAGGCCCTTTATTGGGTGCAGCCTTCTTAGCTGTCCTGAGAACACCCCTCCTTGGGGTGGTACCTACCTCTTCTGGGTTCCTCCCTGCAGGAGGTGAGGCCAGGTGGGCCTCTGGTCTGGGAAGGGAGTCCTTCTATACCCCTGGAGTCCAAGAAATTCACTCTGCCTTTCTATGTCGCCCCTTCTCCTTGCCCTTTGCCCTCAGAGGCCAGAGTATGATTGGTTCTGGAGTGTGTGGTGCACACTGCATGTCCACACCTGTGCTTTGACACCAACAGTTCTTGGGGGCAGAGGAAGAGAGGCCACTTTTGCAGGCAAGGGAACAGACTGATGGGAGGTGTCCTGAGGTACATGGATGGACGGTGGCGGAGCTGAGACCTGTCCTCTGCTACAAAGCCATCTCCCTAAGTTTGTCATTTCACCTCAGTCCAGCTAGGGCTCACAACTGCCCTTGTGATGGTCATGGCCACACCAAGACTATCTCAGTGTAGCCCAGAGCATGGGTGCTGAGGTGGGACTGTCACTTCGCTCTGCTCTGCCGGCCAGCAGCTCCCTTAGGGCCCGAGTGTGTGTGGGCACAGGGAGATTGGGCTTCTTGCCCGGCCAGCTCAGATGCACAGGCCTCCATGCAGCCCTCTCTGCTCAGGGGGAAGGAAGCGGCCAGGGCAGCAGTGTGGCTATCCTGTGGCTGCTCGTGGGTCAGGATGTAATATGATCCTTCTTAGGGCTCCAAGTAGGGCCGGAGGTAATGTGTGGTGCATGGGTGAGGAAGTCTGGAGTCTTGTCTCCTCGATGAGTGGGTTTTATTTTCTCCTCTTGCCCTGTGTGTGTAGTGGGCTCAACCACCCCGGTTTAACTTGCCAGATTCTGAGGAAGCTCACTGTCAAGTTGTCAGTACAAAGAGCTCACTTGGACCCAAAGCTCCATTGCTCATCTTCTGCATGCACAGAGTCCCCTTGGCACTGTTTGGGTTGGGGACCTGTGTGACAGTCTACTGTCATGGGAGCTTCAGGGCCTTGGTCACCCTGAACTTGGTGACCATCCTCTGTTCACAGTGTCCCCCCCTGAAGGGCAAAGTTCAGCGGATCCTACACTGGAGGTGGACCGAACCCCCAGCTCCCTTTATGGTGGGGCTGCCAGGACCAGAGGTGGAGCCAGGCATGCCCCCGCCCAAGCCTCTGGAGGGCATTCCTGAGAGAGAATTCTTTGTCAAGTGGGCTGGGCTCTCTTACTGGCACTGCTCCTGGGTGAAGGAGCTACAGGTGAGAGGCCCAGGCAGTGTGGTTATACTTGGCTTGGTCTGAGCCTGGGGCCCTCCTGGGTGGGCACGAATGGGCTGGCATGTACTGTTTACATGCCCTCCCGGCACGGGTGGGAGCTGGGGATGGCATGAGGAGGAGGCTTGTCTCACCTGGGATAGGGCTGGGGGCTGAAGGGCAGGGTCATCTCCCTTTGGTGACTTCTCTGTGAGCAGCTGGAGCTATACCACACCGTGATGTATCGCAACTACCAAAGAAAGAATGATATGGACGAGCCACCACCCTTTGATTACGGCTCTGGTGACGAGGACAGTAAGAGCGAGAAGCGGAAGAACAAGGACCCTCTCTATGCCAAGATGGAGGAGCGCTTCTACCGCTACGGCATCAAGCCCGAGTGGATGATGGTCCACCGCATCCTGAACCACAGGTGAGGATGGCAGGCAGAGCCCGCCGGCTACGACAGCAGAGCCTGTGAGGGCCAGACTTGCCAGGGATGGGTGCAGTGGGGCAGGAGGAGGGGCAGAGACTGTGCATTTGCCTGCACAGAGGTACCCCTCACGCTCAGCATCCTCATTTACAGTAGGACAGTCCCAGAGGTGTGCCAATTAAGGGGAACGAGGTGAAAAGTCTGTGGAACTGGTGCAAAGCAGGCTCTCTGTGGGGCGGGGCCTGTGCCCATCCCAGGATCCTTCCAAAGTAGGCAGTGAGTTCAGCAGGGTGGTTCTGGGAGCCCAACAGGTCCCAGAAAGGATTAGTCAGTGTTACTATCCCAAGAGGCACAATTGAGAATAGAGTTGGCATGGGGCTGGCATGGTGGCACACGCCTTTAATCCCAGCACTTGGGAGGCAGAGGCAGGCATATCTCTGAGTTCAAGACCAGCCTGGTCTACATAGCTAGTTCCAGGACAGCCAGGGCTACACAGAGAGATCCTGTCTTGAAACATACATTCTCTTTCTCCTTCTCTCTCAGCAAGGGGGCTGGAGAGATGGCTCAGTAGTTGAGAGCACTGGCTGCTCTTGCAGAGGACCTGGGTTGGGTTCTAAGCTCCCATACGGTAGCTCACTACTTCCTATAATTCCAGGCAGGTCTAGGTGATCAGACACCTCTTCTGACCTGGGCATCAGTCATCCATGTGGTACACATACATACATATATGAATACACATTCACATGTATTCATAAAATACACATTATTAAAATTTTATTTTAGACAAGGGCTTTATTTTAATGTGTTTTTTTTTTTTTTTTGAGACAAGGACTTGCTATGTCGCTTTGACTGGCCTGGAACTTACTGTGTAGACCATTTTAGCCTTAAACCCACAGATATCTGCCTGCCTCTGCCTCTTGAGCACTGGAACTTTTTTCTTTTTTTTTTTTTGATTGTTCGAGACAGGGTTTCGCTGTGTAGCTTTGGAGGCTATCCTGGCACTTGCTCTGTAGACCAGGCTGGCCTCGCACTCACAGAGATCCGTCTGCTTCTGTCTCCCGTGGATTTTTTTTTTTTTTAAGCTTTACTTATTTATTATGAATACATTGTTCTGCCTCCATGTGTGCCTGCAGGGCAGAAGAGGGCACCAGAGCTCATTATAGATGGTTGTGAGCCACCCGGTGGTTGCTGGGAATTGAACTCAGGCCCGCGGGAAGAGCAGTCAGTGCTCTTAACCTCTGAGCCACCTCTCCTGCCCATTAAGTGCTGGTATTAAAGGCATGCATCAGCATGTCCAACTCAAAAAAATAAATCTAGGAAAAGAATGTTTTCAGCAAGGCCAAGTCACCTGCCTGGAGCTGCACAGCTGAGGCTGCAGGGTTGGGCATGGGACCCAGTGAGTGCCTTTTGGTAGTTGCTGGCGTTTTCTTAGCCAGCATCCCTTACTCCTGTGCTACCTCTCAATGAAGTCTGGCATTCCCAGGGCCTTAGTGGTCAGAGAAGCCAGGACAAGGAGGCCCAGCAGGAGGGTGTAGGCTGGAGGACAGTGTCTGGCGTGAGCCCCTGCTGACTCTGGAGCTCAGAGGTTGGAAGACAAGTGGTGGCCTTATGAAGTTTCTGAGAACCGTCACATGCGTGCAGCAGCTTACAGTCCCTGCCTGTTCACGGCTTTATCTCTGTCTTCTGGCTTGGGATGGGTGGCCTTCACACTCTGTCCCTGACCACAGGTCCTGTTGACAGTTATTGTGAGGGCAGAGGAGGTTAAGAACCTCTGTGGCTGTGGACTTCTGAGCTGATCCCCATGTGACCTGAGTACTGGGCGGCTGAGGGGCTGCTAAGGCCTTGCTGGAGTGGCTCCGAGGGAACAGGAAATCTTATGGGCTGTGAAGTACCCTGGCCATCCCAGACTCCAGATGGTACCTGAGCTGCGCATAGGATTGACTGCTCCCCTTTTCTTTTATTAAAATGCACGCTAAAGCAGAAAGGACAGTTACTTCTGCACCCCCAAAGAGGAGCCGGTGAATCTCCCAGAGTGTGCATAACAACCAATTATTTGTTGAAAATAAGCCATTGGTTTCCATGGTGACTGGGAATTGGCCTTGCTCTTCATGATCCCTAGGCCACCTGCAGCCACAGCTCCCCAGTCCGTTTGCCCTTACCCTTGCCATTTAGGGTGCCCCGGTTCCCTGGCTTTGCTGGGCTCTCTTGGCCTGGCTGTTGAGTCTACTCAGATGGAGCAGAAGACCTTGAGGGTTCCTTCAGTGGCCACTGTGGGGCATGGTCATTGGGTTCTCATGTCCCTGGGAACCTTTAGAAGAGGGTGTTCCCATCTGCAGGGATTATTGACTCTTTGCCTGCTTTGTAGGGAAGCACCAGCACCCTGGACTGATACACAAAATACTTTGACATTTTATGTTAGAAAGTGAAGTCTCTGAGCAGAGAGGAGATCCATGACATCATTTCCTGTGTTCAGATTATATAGAGGGTGGACTCGCCCCTGCAGCAGAGTTTAGAAAGGACACAGGTTGCGACTTCTTAGCTCTCTGTTAACACAGCTTCCCATTGTCTCTGTCTCCCTGTGCTGGCCGCTTTCTCCAACCTTCATCTCTCTGTGCAAGCGGTGTGGCATTGGGCAAGCTACTACACCTCTCTACGGCTCTTGCCCCGGTGCCTTCCTCCTGGTTGGGCCCAGAATGCTAGGACAGCATGGATATTAGTGGATTGGCATTTCTGTGGGGCCCTGTCTGGAACCCGTGCCTGTTCCTCCCCCATCTTCTGCCTCCTGCGTTTCAGCTTTGACAAGAAGGGGGATGTGCATTACCTGATCAAGTGGAAGGATTTGCCCTATGACCAGTGCACCTGGGAGATTGACGACATCGACATCCCCTACTATGACAACCTGAAGCAGGCCTACTGGGGCCACAGGTATGCTGAGTGCTGGCAGCCAGGTGTGGGGTCCCGGGGTCCCCAACTCTTGGCTTGAGTTTTGCTCATCTGAGCCCCATGCTTCTACCCAGGGAGTTGATGCTGGGAGAGGATGCCAGGGTTCCCAAGAGGCTGGTCAAGAAGGGCAAGAAGCTGAAGGACGACAAACAGGAGAAGCCACCGGACACGCCCATCGTGGATGTGAGTGGGGAGGGGGAGGAAGCAGTAGGTTGGGTTGCCACGTTCACCACCCTAGGCTTGGCAGTACAGGGAGGTCTTTCCTCAGGGACGCTTCCCCAGGTCCTCATGGCCTGCCATTTTCAATGACACCGAGGCTGTGTGGGCCAACGGGAAGAGCCTAGTGGTGTGGAGCTGAGACTCACCTGATTCTGACTCTTGAATCCTGGGATTAAAGGCATGCACCACCCTGCTGGGCCCCTTGGGCATATTTTAAGGAGCCCACCTTGGGCTGGGGTGGAGCTCGGTGTGTAGATTGCTTGCCTAGCATGCATAGGCCCTGGTGCTCAATGGCTAGCATGACTGTAGCTGAGTGTAGTGGTGCATGCCTTTGACCCCAGCACTCAGGAGTTGGAGGTAGAAGAATCACAAGTTCATGGTCGTCCTCAGCCACACAGTTGAGTTTGAGGCCAGCCTGGGCTACAGGAGACTGAAAAGCAAACAAACAAATAAGCCAGCAGCAACAACAACCAAAAAACAAAAAGACCAGGGCCCATGGTGGGGACCTTACTGGGAAAGTGACTTGGAGATATAGGACAAAAGGGGCACAGAAGTGACATGCTGGTTATGAGCCATGCTTTGGGCAGGTGTTAGGGCGGGGAGCCGGCGGGTGTTTCTTGGAAGGAGAGACATTCTAGGCTGGACTCTAAGCAGCGTGAGGAAAGCACGGAGGCGCAGGAACATCATTTTAGACAGAAGGAATTGTGCCTGACTCCGGTGGTCCAGGATTCAGGATGTATCTGATTCTTGCCTCCCTTGCCCACAGCCCACAGTCAAGTTCGACAAGCAGCCATGGTACATTGACGCCACAGGAGGCACACTGCACCCTTACCAGCTGGAGGGCCTCAACTGGTTACGTTTCTCCTGGGCCCAGGGCACTGACACTATCCTGGCTGACGAGATGGGTTTGGGCAAGACGGTGCAGACCATTGTGTTTCTCTATTCCCTGTACAAGGAGGTGGGCAGGCAGGAGGGCAAAAGGGTCTGGGCAGGCGGGGTCTGGGCAGGCGGGGTCTGGTGCCATCTGCTGGCAGTCTGCTTCACCGCCTCAGGCTCTCTCTGCAGGGCCACTCCAAGGGGCCTTACCTGGTTAGCGCGCCCCTGTCCACCATCATCAACTGGGAACGCGAGTTTGAGATGTGGGCACCTGACTTTTACGTGGTCACCTATACGGGGGACAAGGAGAGCCGCTCTGTGATCCGTGAGAACGAGTTTTCCTTCGAGGACAACGCCATTCGCGGTGGGAAGAAAGTATTCCGCATGAAGGTGAGTGCTGTCTTTACCTCCAGCCCCAGAGGGCCAGCATCACAGTTGTTCTGTCATGATTTAATGGAGGGTCACCAACTTCGGCTTAGCTCCACAGAGAGCTGCTTTTGGCTGCCTGGAAGCCAGCTGGTCAGCGAGGCTCCCTCTGAGGCCCCAGGAGACATCGGTCTTTTCCATCTCTTCCAACTTGTGGTGTCCCGGAACTAGCTCTTGTAGACCAGGCTGGTCTGGAACTCACAGAGATACACCTGCCTTTGCCTCCCGAGTGCTGAGATTAAAGGCGTGCGCCACCAACGCCCGGCTGCCCGGCTATTTTTTTTGGGGGGTATTTATTTTTCATCTTCTGTAACAACACCTTCTCTAGGGGACTATTTTTAGTCCCTGAAATGTCTGCTGCTAGTGCTGTCCCTCCAGGACTCCCCAGAATGCTTGTGGGGTTCCCACTCACACTTATCCACGCCGTCCCTTATCCCTTTGGTCGACTCTGTCCCTGCTGCCTCCTCCACGTTCTTGTCTCTTCCCACAGAAGGAAGTGCAGGTCAAATTCCATGTGCTGCTCACCTCCTATGAGCTCATCACCATCGACCAAGCCATCCTGGGCTCCATTGAGTGGGCCTGCCTTGTGGTGGACGAGGCCCACCGGCTCAAGAACAACCAGTCCAAGGTAGGAGGCATTGATCATGGAACTCACCCCTCCCTGTGCAGCCACTGCTGTGTGCCTCCTGACAGCCCCTCTCCTCTCCCCAAAGTTCTTTAGGGTCTTGAATAGCTACAAGATAGACTACAAGCTGTTGCTGACAGGGACCCCCCTCCAGAACAACCTGGAAGAGCTATTCCATCTCCTCAACTTCCTGACTCCAGAGAGGTTCAAGTGCGTCCCTGGGCCTGGCAGGAGTGATGGGTCACAGTCCTGTGAAGGCGTGGTAGCCGCCTTTGCTGGCTCTGCCTGGGGACCTCGGTTTCCCGTTAGTGAGATGGGAGCATGGCCGGTATCCTGTGTGGGAAGGTCTTAGCATCTGCCTTCCCTAGGGATACTACAGCTGTCCCAGCAAACCATGGTTTTCTTTAGCACTGTCCCAGAAGGCCTTGGGGCTTCTCCTGGGTTCCTACCCCTATACCCCACCCCACTGACTGTCCTGGGCTCATTTCATCCACTGTGACTTAAATGACCCTCATGAGCACAGCGATGGCAACAGAGGCCAGAGCTGGGCTGGGGTGGAGGTGGGAGCAAAGATGGCGTCCTGCTTCCTAGGCTTCCTCATCCGTGTTTAATCCCAGTTCACCTGCTCAGAACTGTGTAGGGGGCTTGGGGAGGAGGGGCCTGTTTTGGATGTTGATTCAAGGTCAGGTTGTAGCACGCTGAACCACGTGACCCTGAGGGCTCAGCAGCCTTGGTCGTCCCTGTCCCTGGGAACTCATGTGCAGCAGGAATAGTGTTTGGATGGGGAGGGACCCTGTGTGTCAGGGGCTGTGACATGTGGCATGATGCCGGTTGAGACGGAGCCTCAGTGGCTTCTCGCCAGTACCAAGTGTCTCTGGACCGCCAGCCTTGGCCTCTGCCTTATCCTTCCTGGTCCCAATTCCTCTGCAGAGGGCCATGGTTTACTCTGGCCCTCTCCTTCTGGCCCTTACCTCAGCTTTTTGTTGCAGCAATCTGGAAGGCTTCCTGGAGGAGTTTGCTGACATCTCCAAAGAAGACCAGATCAAAAAACTGCACGACCTGCTGGGGCCGCACATGCTCCGGAGGCTCAAGGCCGATGTCTTCAAGAACATGCCAGCCAAGACAGAGCTGATCGTGCGTGTGGAGCTGAGCCAGATGCAGAAGTGAGTGACGGAGGCTCGGCTCTGGCCTGCAGCAACTGGCCCATGTCCTGGTCTAGTGTCCTCAGCCGCCCCTTCCCACAGGCCGCCTCTGGCTTTCCTGACCATTCCCTGGGGTTGGCAGGAGGGCTGCTTGCCTGTGGAGGCCTTTCTCCCTGGTCTCCTTCTCCCTTCACACACTGCAGTCATGGAGTGACTAGAGTCTGGCTGCCCAGGTTCTAGTAATGTCTTCCATTGGCTTGCGGGGTAACCTGTGCCCCACGGGAAGGCCTCCTGTGCCACTCTGTACGTGGTGACTGGGACACCACCGGCCTTCCTGAGGATAGAGCTTACCCCTTTGGGAGTCTGTGGGGTCTGAGGCCTCCTGCCAACCTTGTCCCATACCCGGTTGCAGGAAGTACTACAAGTTCATCCTCACGCGGAACTTTGAGGCGCTCAACTCCAAGGGGGGCGGCAACCAGGTGTCTCTGCTGAACATCATGATGGACCTGAAGAAGTGCTGCAACCATCCGTACCTCTTCCCCGTGGCCGCTGTGGTGGGTTCCCCGTGGGCGTCATGGCAGGTCCCCATGGGCTCGTGTTGAGTTCCTCGTGGCCATCAGGGCATGTTTCCATGGCTGCTTGTTGGGTTCCCTGATGCAGTAGTTTCTCTGTGGCCATCATGGCAGGTCCCTGTGGCTGCTTTGTTGTGTTCTCTGGTCTAGTAGGTTCTCTGTGGCCATCATGGCAGGTCTCTACTGGCTGTTGTGTTCCCTGTCACCACTGTGATAGGTGACCTGTGGTCATCATGGCAGATCTCAAATGGCTGCTGTGGTAAAGTTCCCCCTGGTCATAGTAGGTCTCTGTGGCTGCCATAGTGGGTTCTCTGTGACAGTCATACAGACCCCCTAGTGACTGCCATGGCTGTAACTACCATGTTATCTATGATGTGTTCCCTGTGGACAGTGTGGTGTGGTGTATTCCTTGTGGCCATTGCATAGGTGCCTGGCTGCTGTGGTGGGCTTCTTGTGGCCTGTGTGGAAGGTGTCCATGGCCAGGTGCTTTGGCCCACAGCCTTGTGTTCCTTCCTGAGAATGAATGCCTGAGGTGACGTGTGTCTCCATCCTGTTCCTTTAGTGCTGGGGGACAGTTTTGGAAGCTGGCGATGCCTATTGATTGGTCCCAGGTCATTTCTTCCTAACCCCTCCTGGTAGCCCCCAAACCTCCCCAGCCTCAGCACTGGGCCTCCCGGGAGCTCTGGGAACCAACCCAGCTTCACTATGTCCCCAAGGGAGTTTACGTTGTGTGAGTCTGCTCAGCAGCAGTGAGACAGACACTGGACTCAGGAATTCGTCCAGCCCGGTGCTGTGACCTTGGGAAATTGATGTCCCTCTGGTGTCTCAGGGCTCTCCTTTGTCAAGTGAAGCAGTAGTGACACCTTCCCAGTTCACAGACAGTTGAGGGCTGGCCTCTCGGTGGGCATGGTGGGTCCCCATGCCCGTCACCGCTCTTTGGATTCTAACTCATCCTCTGTAGTCACATCTGCCCCGTTACTGCAGGCCACCGGAGAGGTCCCTCTTGGGACTCGGTGTGGCTCAGGAATCTTCTGGGATCTACCTTTAGATCGACCTGCCTATCTGGGCTCGGAGATGGGCAGAGCTGGACCCGTGGGATGCACCTTGCAGGGCCCATAGTGACCAAGCCAGGTTTCTGTGGGAAGGGTCCCTAGTTCATTTCAGTCCCAGGCAGAGAATGAGGCTGGCCTGCCTGTGCCGCGTTTTAAGCATCTATCTGGAGCCAGGCTCAGTGTGCCCCACACGATGGAGCCTGCTCAGGGTTTGTACTCTGGGCTCAGTTGTGCAGATGGGCAGGTGGCCCATGGCCAGGCACTTGTCCATCACTACAGTCTCTTTGGTGCCAAAGCCAGAGGGAGAATCCGCCAAGGCTCTGCTCTGCTGTGTCCACAGGAGGCCCCCGTATTGCCCAATGGCTCCTACGATGGCAGCTCCCTGGTCAAGTCCTCGGGGAAGCTCATGTTGCTGCAGAAGATGCTCAAGAAGCTGCGGGATGAAGGACACCGAGTGCTCATCTTCTCCCAGGTGGGCTACCCTGGAGCCAGCACACACCCACAGGGGAGCCAGCCTGCCTTTGGGCTCAAGGCCTCTGAGCCCCTGCATGACACATCTGGGTACCAAGCTCATGGAGACAGGGTCTGGTTGCTATAGAGACCAGCATATCCCCCATCTCATCTCCCTGTACCTGTCCCTCTGGCCCGTGTGTCCAGGCTGGTATGATAGCCTCCTCTCTTCTGTCCAGTGTCTTTCTGCCCCTGTGGGTTGGTTTGTTAAGGTATTGTCCTGAAGTTGGTCTGGAAGGGTACCACGATGGGGGCGCTTCCAGGAGCCCCTCTGTAGCTTGCTCCTCAGGGTCCACTGGTGACGTTGCTTCCTGTATATGCAGAAGCAGGGCCACCCACCATAGTGCTTTCCTCCCCTCTTCCTCTGCTCTTTGTTCTGCTCATCATGTTTCCGTCTGGTTTCTGGGCACAGACAGGAACGTACAGGTTCCTCTCTCAAACTGCCCAGTCTGGAGGGGAAAGGACAACTCATGAGACACTGGCCCAAACTGATGTTCAGGTCTGTGTTGGAGGTTACAGTGATGAGGAGCCTAGGGCTAAAAACACTTGTCTGGGGGCAGGACTGAAATGAGTGAGGCTGTTTCTAAACATGAGCGTGGGGTTCAGCTCGCCTGTGTAAAAAGTTGAGTGAAAAGGGTTGCTGATGCCTGCTGCCTCTGGTGGCAGGCCAGGTCTGTGGCTGTGGCTGGACTGTGGTGGCAGCTGGCAGGTAGCATCCATTTTCTCTGCTAACACCATTTCTGCCACAAAATGTGAGTCAGGGTGAAAGCCTCAGGAGCCCAAGGTGTGAAAAGTATTGTGATAGAAATTTACCAGAAATGTGATAGAAATGTACCAGAAGAGAAATGACAGGGAGGTGGCCCTTCCATCTGTGTGATCTGACTCGTTCACAAGGGAAGAAATCAGATGCAAGCAGGAAGAGACAGGGTAAGAAACAACAGATCAGAACGCAGAGGGGCCGGAGAGACAGCCCAGAAGTGAAGGGCGCCCGCTGCTCTTACAAAGGACTGGGGTTTGGTTACCAGCACCCACAGCATGCATCTTGCCACTTCTCGTAAGACCGTTTCCTCTTCTGGTCTCTGCAGGCACCTGTGCACACTCCCACATGTGACACACATACACATAAAAAAAAAAAAACTTTAAAAAATGCAGAGTAGTTTAGACATTGAAAGAAAACGTTTTGTCAGACCAGGTAAATAAACTCTCACCATTGAAAAAACACTGGTGAACTGGACCCCGAGGCTGAGGAATTTCCCAGCATGCATCATAGAGAGCATCAGAGACCCATGAGAGAGCCTGGGGGATGTCTGAGGAGACACTGCCAGGAACCGCAGAGGAAGCACCAGGAAATTGTGGAAGTCTTATTTGTAGACTTGGAGAAAAACAGCAGCCTCAGATCTGAAGTGCGTGGCCACGGAAGACTAAGCAGGGTCTGAACTGCAGGCCAGCTTCTGGACACCAGCTAGGGAAAACAACTCAGGCTCAGGCTTATCAGTAACAGCAGGTGATGGAGGGCAGTAGTCAAATCTCCACGCTTTGAGGGAGCGTGTCTGCTGGTAGCTTCCCATAGACTTCACATAGTTGAACAGGAGGGGACCAGACAGGACTCTGGGAGCTCGGGGGTGGGGTGGGGATGGGGAGTGGGGGGAGGTAACATTGGGAATATAACATAAAGGTGATGGCATTGGGGCTCTCTAAGCAGGAAAGGGCATGCATGTCAGGAGTCGTGGTTAGGAATAGTTGTGGGGAGAAGGAAGCAAGGGGCCTGCAAGTGTTGAATGCCAGCAGAGGGGTTGCGGCTCTCTTTTGGGGAGGTGGGAGTGAACCAGAGGCTGGTGCCTGAGGGCGTGTATGGAGGCTGCTCTTTGGAATAGACGGTGGGTGAGATGTGAGGTCAAGGGATGAGTTCTTTTCAGGAGGCCTGCTTTGGGCATGGCCTCCTACTTTGGAATTCTCCTCTTACCCAGGGTGGGGTCCAGGCTTGGCAGGAGCCCCTCAAGACGAATCCATGTCTTTTGTAGATGACAAAGATGTTGGACCTCTTGGAGGACTTCCTGGAGTATGAGGGCTACAAGTACGAGCGGATCGACGGGGGCATCACTGGCGGGCTCCGGCAAGAGGCCATCGACAGATTCAATGGTACCCATCCCTCTCAAGGGGCCCCGTGTGTCCGGAGGGTCTTAGCCTGACCATCCAATTAACAGTGCTCCCCAAGCTGCATTGCAAATGGAAGAAACACACCAGTCCTTAGGCCACAACTGTTGTCTCGTGTTATTTTATTTTATTAAGGTCTTACTGTATAATATAGCTCAGGCTGACCTCCAGCTCACCATCTGTAACAATAACTCTTCTGCCAGCCGCCTGAGTTCCGCCACCACGTTAGGGCCCCAAATAACACACAGAGACTAATATTAGTTACAATGCTGCTGGCCAATGACTAGGATTTTTTATTTGCTAGCTCAGTCTTAATTATCAACCATAACTACTAATCTATATATTTTTATAAGGACTTATCTTACCGAGGACACTGGCCTTAGCATCCTGTCTTCCTGGGATCACATGGCGAACCCCCTTCTTTACTACATTTCCCAGAGGCCTCCTTGACTCCTAGCCCCATCTAACTTGCTTCCTATTGGCCAACAGTGCTTTATTTATCAACTAATAAGACAAACATATACACAGAAGGACCTCCCCCATCCACCATCCCCCTACTTCAGTCCCCCAAGGCTGCGGTCAGATGTGTGCCATCATGCCAGACCCTTTTTACTGTCTGTTGGGTCCTAAGGAGTCTTAGCAGACAAAAGTTCTCTAAGTAGCCTTGGAGCTGGGAAGGAAATGCCACTGCCACAAACTAGATGGCCCTCCTTTGTTAACACCCACCTGGGCCTTGAATGTCCTTCTCTTGGAGCTGGGAAGGAAATGCCACTGCCACAAACTAGATGGCCCTCCTTCGTTAACACCCACCTGGGCCTTGAAAGTCTGCTTCCTTCACATTCTGGCTCCTGCCAGCTTGGCCGCGGCCAGCATCAGCAGGGTTGCAGGAGCCCAGCAGATGGTGTGCTGCCCTCCAGGGCACCTCGGCTCCGGGGTTCTTGCCCTTCTATGTGCTGTGTACCTGACCCCTGCCCAGGTGTGCTCCCTGACTCACTCGTGCCTGTCGGCCTCTTTCTCAGCTCCCGGGGCCCAGCAGTTCTGCTTCCTGCTCTCGACACGTGCCGGCGGCCTGGGCATCAATCTGGCCACGGCGGACACAGTCATCATCTATGACTCGGACTGGAACCCACACAATGACATCCAGGTCTGTGCCTAACATCTTGTTGTGCCCTCAGCAACTCTTATCCTTTCTCCCCTCCCCATTCCTTCATGTCCCTGGTCCTGTGCCCTCTTAGTGTGGAGGCCCCACCCTAAAAGGGTGACGGGACAGAGGGGCAAAGTTGGCTCAAGAGAGGGCAGGGGAAGTGTTCAAGACACACAACAACTTGAGTGACAGCCCTGATCTCTCCCATCACCTGGTCAGGGAAGGAGGCAGAATGAGGGAGTCACAGGATGTGTAGGGGTGCCTGCTGGACGTAGGGGGAGGAGGAAATGGAGGGGCATATGGAATGATGGGAAGGATGGAATGATGGGAAGGATGGAGAGAGAACAGGGCGTGTAGGGACAGAACCACCTGATGTCTCTGGTTACCTCACTCTGGAGCAGGACACGATACACTGGCAGTTTGGGGTCACATGTGTGTGCGTGCGCGTGCGCGCGCGCGCGCGCACGCGCACACACACACACACACACACACACACACACACACACACTTGTGCATCATATACACTGTCGCACCAGGCCATATCTTATAGAGACACAATGGAGTCCCAGCCGTATTCTCCAGGACAGTTCCCAGACATTGCTGCCCTGAAAGGTTGCTGTGTTTCCAGCCCCTGGCTTTATGTCCCATCATCACTCACACACACTGAGATGCAGCCCACCTTCCCGGGACCCAGCATTGGAGTCCCAGGAGGCTTTGCTTCTATCAAGCATGCAGGACACTGTTCCTGGACACACCCTTGTTATGCCTGGAGTCACCCCGAGTGCACCTCCCTGTGTGGCCAGGCTGCCCCTTGCATGACCACTGGCTTTCCCTGTGGTCCTCCTTGGTAACAAGCCCAGCTGTGGCCTGGAGCCCGGAGTCAAGCCCTGGGTGCTGAGCTGTGGTCGCTCTCCCTGGAGCCCTGGGTGCTGAGTTGTGGTCTCTCCCCCTGGAGCCCTGGGTGCTGAGCTGTGGTCGCTCTCCCTGGAGCCCAGGGTGCTGAGTTGTGGTCTCTCCCTGGAGCTCTGGGTGCTGAGCTGTAATCTCTCTCCCTGGAGCCCAGGGTGCTGAGTTGTGGTCTCTCCCCCTGGAGCCCTGGGTGCTGAGCTGTGGTCGCTCTCTCTGGAGCCTGGGTGCTGAGCTGTGGTCTCTCTCCCTGGAGCTCTGGGTGCTGAGCTGTAATCTCTCTCCCTGGAGCCCAGGGTGCTGAGTTGTGGTCTCTCCCTGGAGCTCTGGGTGCTGAGCTGTAATCTCTCTCCCTGGAGCCCAGGGTGCTGAGTTGTGGTCTCTCCCTGGAGCTCTGGGTGCTGAGCTGTAATCTCTCTCCCTGGAGCCCGGGGTGCTGAGCTGTGGTCGCTCCCCCTGGAGCCCTGGGTGCTGAGCTGTGGTCTCTCTCCCTGGAGCCCTGGGTTCTGAGCTGTGGTTGCTCCCCCTGGAGCCCTGGGTGCTGAGCTGTGGTCTCCTTCAGGCCTTCAGCCGCGCTCACCGCATCGGACAGAACAAGAAGGTGATGATCTACCGCTTCGTGACACGGGCCTCCGTGGAGGAGCGCATCACTCAGGTGGCCAAGCGCAAGATGATGCTCACACACCTGGTGGTGCGGCCTGGCCTGGGCTCCAAGTCAGGCTCGATGACCAAGCAGGAGCTGGATGACATTCTTAAGTTCGGCACTGAGGAACTCTTCAAGGACGATGTGGAGGGTGGGCCTCCCTTTTGTGGGAGTGTGACGGGGTCTCGAGGTAGCCCCTGTTGAGGCATGCCCATCCAGGACTCCAGGGTCCCTGTTTCTTCTTCTCTACTCCCAGCCTGGAATACCCCCAGAGTGGGTTAGGGTTGCATCTCTGCTTGCTGCACACCAACCCCATGGTTCCTCAGTGCCCTGGTCCAGTGTCCCTCTTCTGTCTTTCAGGGATGATGTCCCAGGGCCAGAGGCCGGCCACACCTATCCCCGATGTACAGTCCTCCAAGGGTGGATCTTTGGCTGCCAGTGTGAAGAAAAAGCATGGCAGCACCCCGCCAGGTAGAGGCCCACCTGAGTCACCCATAGCCTTTTGTGTAGCCAGGCAGCTGCCTCTGGGCAGGAGGGGGTCCTCTGCTGCCCACGTCACCTCCTTTGGTTGTCCGCTCTAGGCCATGGCTGGGTGGGGAGGGACTGTCACACCTGCCCGGGTTCTGGTGTAGCTTCCTCGCCTGGTCACTGACACCCTCACTCCAGGAGAAGGGCCATCTTGGCAATTGGCCCTGAGGTTGGCCCTGGGCGCCTCCGTTGGTGTCCACACATTGTCCCCACTGACTCCTCAGGTGACAATAAGGACGTGGAAGACAGCAGTGTGATCCACTATGATGATGCGGCCATATCCAAGCTCCTGGATCGGAACCAGGATGCCACCGATGACACGGAGCTACAGAACATGAATGAGTACCTGAGCTCCTTCAAGGTGGCACAGTACGTGGTCCGTGAGGAAGACGGCGTGGTAAGGCCACTTGGAGTGCCACACTGCCCCTTGCAGTTCCACCCTTAGCTCCCCCTCCCTCCAGCCCCACACTGTGCCTCTGTCTTGTCCTGTTCTAGAACATTCTACCTCATCTCCTGTGTCTTGAAAAGCCCAATTGCTGCCACAGCTCCTCAACGCCCCTATTGGCTCCATCCATCCTCCTTGCAAACCTGGGCATTGGTTATAGTTCCCTTTAAAACCATGAACCCAGCTGGGCAGTGGTGGCACACGCCTTTAACCCCAGCACTCAGGAGGCAGGGGCAGGTGGATCTCTGAGTTTGAGGCCAGCCTGGTCTACAGAGTGAGTTCCAGGACAGTCTGGGCTACATGGAGAAACTGTGTCTCAAAAAACCAAAAAACCCAAACCAAATACCAAACAATCCAAAACAACAAAACAAAACAAAAAACACAAAACCCTGAACCCCGAGGGCAGTGTCTGCGGTACCGGAGTTCCTGACTGAGGCCAGGGTGCGCATGCAGAGTGAGTGAGTGACATTGGCGGGAGCAGGGTGAAGACCCGCTAGGGCTGGAGCTTTCTGGAGTAGGCAAGCCCCCTCACTTGCCCCGTGGGCCTGCGGAGGTGGGTGAGACGTGACAGAAGCAACTGGGTGTGTCCAGCTCTGCCCACATCTGCGTCCCCAGGAGGAGGTCGAGCGGGAGGTGATTAAGCAGGAGGAAAATGTGGACCCTGACTACTGGGAGAAGCTCCTGCGCCACCACTATGAGCAGCAGCAGGAGGACCTGGCCCGCAACCTGGGCAAGGGCAAGCGTATTCGCAAGCAAGTCAACTACAACGACGCCTCCCAGGAGGACCAGGGTGCGTGTGGTGAGCAGGGGCGTCCCTACCCCGTCGTCGCGGCAGGGGGCATGTGACAGACCTGCACCGGGGAAGAGTGCCAGTGGGCAGCAAGCAAGGCTTCTGGGAGAAAGGGAGCTGCAGGCAGGCGTGGGTTTGGGGACAAGATGGCTACCAGTCCGGTGGCTTCAGGCAAGTGTGGGAGGGTGGGAGAGCCTCCACACATCAGAGTGGCAACGCAGTTCCAAGTACAGTCACCTGTAGGCCATTGTCATTGCCGTGGCTGTGACTAGACTGGGGAGGGTCTTGGCTCAGCCCTGGGCGCACAAGGCCCCTCTGCTGACATCCTACAGAGTGGCAGGATGAGCTCTCAGACAACCAGTCCGAGTATTCCATTGGCTCTGAGGATGAGGATGAGGACTTTGAGGAGAGACCCGAGGGGCAGAGTGAGTATTAGTGTGGGTGACCCGGGCTGTTACAGTGCATGGGGACAGATGGCCAGCTGGGACTGGACTGGGCGACCCAGACTGTTACAGTGCGGTGGGGGAGTTGATGGCCAAGTGAGGCTGGGCTGGTGTGCCCCATGGGCGCTGCAGGAGGTTGTCCTGAGTGTCTTGCTGTTCTGAGTATGCTGGTGGAACCCCTGCACACCGGCCTGAAGGTCTGTGGTGGACTGTTCTCTAGGTGGACGGCGACAATCTAGGAGGCAGCTGAAGAGTGACAGGGACAAGCCCCTGCCGCCTCTTCTGGCTCGAGTTGGGGGCAACATTGAGGTGGGATTTGCCTGTTGCCTGATCCCTCCCAGCCCCACTCCTTACACCCCTGGGGTACCGAGTAACTGAGGGTTTCCCAGGCTTCACGCCCACTCCTTACACCCCTGGGGTACCGAGTAACTGAGGGTTTCCCAGGCTCACGGGTCATGTGGAGGTGAAGCTGAGAGGGACGCTCTGGGTTCGGGTTTCCCTTGCTTTCCTCCGCCTATCCCACGGCTCTGTCACACCCCTTCTCCACCCTGGGCAGGTGCTGGGCTTCAATGCCAGACAGAGGAAGGCCTTTTTGAACGCCATCATGCGCTGGGGTATGCCCCCGCAGGACGCCTTCAACTCCCACTGGTTGGTGCGGGACCTTCGTGGGAAGAGTGAAAAGGAATTTCGGTAAAGGGTCCAAGTGCGGTGGTGGTCCGGGAGGGTGTGACCTCCCATCCCTGTGGAGTGGGCCCTCTAGTGGACGGTGCTTGCTCCCTCCTAGTCAGAGGTGCCCAGAGAGTTCACAGCTGTCAGATCTTTGGGTGTGGTGGTGTGTTGGGCAGGGCTGATTTATAGAACACTGGCCAGCACTCCTGCTCACACTCTGGGAAAGGGAGGTTGGGCCATCCAGGACCAGGAGCATCTGAAGTGGGTCCCCTGTCAGGGAGGCTCAACTATCTTTCCCTGGGTCTGGCTCCATCCAAGAGGTCCCTGGGGGTCCTGCCAGTCTGCCTTCACTCCCTGAACCCCAGTACTCCCCCCCCAGAGCCTATGTGTCCCTCTTCATGCGGCACCTGTGTGAACCGGGGGCAGACGGCGCAGAGACCTTCGCAGATGGTGTGCCCCGGGAGGGCCTGTCCAGGCAGCATGTGCTCACTCGTATCGGGGTCATGTCGCTGGTTAGGAAGAAGGTGGGTGAGTAAGCCTGTACTAGCCTTCTGGCTGGCATGTGGCCCTTGAGCTGCCTCTGATGGGGGGATCAGCCACCAAAGGGCAAATGCCTGGTTCAGGTCAGTCACACGGCTACCCAGGTCTGAGACGGACCACGGGGACAGACTAGAGGGGCATACGGGGTGAGGGTAGGGAGGATACGGCCAGAAGGGTGAGTTGTAGGGTGAGGGGCTGCTAGCAGAAGCTGGGTCACAAGTGGTTCTGGCCGTGGGCAGAGCGGCACCCAAGCCCGCAACAGCATTCTGTCTTGTGGGCTGCTTCCGAGTACTTGAGGGCTGCAGTGGTGACTGCCCTCTCTGCTTTCTGCCTCCTGCCCCAGGTTCAGGAGTTTGAGCACGTCAACGGGAAGTATAGCACCCCAGACATGGTCCCTGAGGGACCCGAGGGCAAGAAGCCCTGTGAGGTGATCTCCTCGGATCCCAACACGCCCTTGCCTGCCAGCCCTGCGCAGCTCCCACCAGCTCCACTGGGCCTGCCAGGTCTGGGCTTAGGGAAAGCCCGGGAGAGCTCTTGGGTCATGGGTGGTGGAGCAAGTCTGCAGCGTAACCCACAATGTGAGGGTCCCTCCACGCTGCAACACCTTGCCAGAGCCTTTTCATTTTAGTGATAGCCTTGTGATTTTACTCCCACGAGTGCCACGCAGTCTGCATCACTAAAGCCACTGGCTAGCAGCTCCTAATGAACTCACTGAATATTTCCATCCACCCCTACAAGAAACCCAGTCCCCGTCACACTCCCTGCCCCCTGCTTCTGGAGGGCAATGTCCACTCCATCCTGACTGCCCATTGTGGCCTCATCAGGCCCAAGGCCCTACAAGGGTCTGAGTTGGAGGCCTGGCTTGGAGCCCTATGAACACTTCTGAACTTGTCACTCACTGTGGAGCACTGCGAGGCCAGGCCCCTCTCTCATCTGGCATGCCCTGCCCTGCCCCTTTGTCCTGTCTAAGCCCGCCCAATCTCACCTCTTTCCTCTAATATTGTAGACAAAATGGAAGCCCAGCTGGGCTACATGGATGAAAAGGAGTCAGGCATGCAGAAGCCAAAGAAGCCCCAGGAAATCCAGGTACGAAAGTCGCTGGTGGCCGGGTCTGTGGAAAATGTGGGTGGGGCGTGGTCTGGCCCAGCTGGGTAGAACCCAGACCTCCCTGGTTCCCAGTTCTGGTCGCTGGGCATAGGGGTACCAGGCAGGGAACAAGTGGGGGCATCTGGGATTGAGGGCTCCAAGCCCAGTGTATATTCCCTGCCTCGCGTCCTTGCTGAGGCCCAGGTGCTGCAGCCCCCTAGTCTGTCCTTCTAGGCCCTGCCAACTGCCTTGGACAGAGCAGAGGGTGAAGATAAGCATCAGAACTCAGACAGCAAGGACAGAGCTCGAGAGGAGAGGATGGAGGAGGTGGAGAAGGCCCAGGGCTCTCCGGAGCAGCCTCCAAAAGGTAAGGCTTTCTCAGCACAGTGCTTGACCTTTGCAGCCCTGGGCTGGTCGGTGGATCACACTCCTGTCTATTTACCCTGCCTGGGTGCTAGCTGTGCCAGACTACCTGGTGTAGGGAAGGGCAAGGGGTCAGGTCTGTACATAGACTTTAACCCTGTCATGGAGCATTTGGGGCTCTTGGGTTATGTCTTCATTACAGCATTCCAACTCATTTGGATTCTTGTTTGAAAACACGAGTCCATCAGGACACTGTCAGATTTGCTTCTGGCTTAACATGGCCAGAGTTAGTAAATGCCTTGTGTGGACTGGAAAAAGACAGTTGGGTGTGAGGTTCTTTTTATTTATTTATTTTTGTTTGTTTGTTTTTCGAGACAGGGTTTCTCTGTGTAGCTTTGGAGCTTGTCCTGGAACTCACTCTGTAGGACCAGGCTGGCCTCGAACTCACAGGCACCCACCTGCCTCTGCCTCCCGAGTGCTGGGATTAAAGGTGTGCGCCACCACAGCCTGTCGGGGTATGAGGATCTTAATACACACTTCAGATCATTTGATAAAAAACCTGTTAATTATACTGCTAAGGTTATTTCAACACCCTCATTAATATTGCTGTGGTCAGTCACTTCTTGAGAGACTGCATGAAAACCTTACTTTGATTACAAGGGTCAGTACCATAACCAGATTGTGTTGTTAGTCAAATGTTTGTTTTGGCATTTAGTGCTTTTCTGCAAAGAAGCTTTTAGTAGTTCCAGTCATCTGTAGTAATTACTATACCTCTTGGCCTTAATGTTTCCTTTGAGAGGTCAGGAGATGCCTTGGTGTATGCGAGCATGCTGGCCTGAGTAGGATTTCCATCACCCATGCAGAACAAAGGCAAAACCAGAAAACACCAATAAACAAAACCCAACCCCAACCAACCAAACCCTAAATACAGCACATGAGGGTAATTCCAGGGCTGGATGGAGACAGGAGGAACCCTGGGGCTTGCCGGCCAGTCTACCCAAGCCCACGAGTCATAAGGTTCTGTCTCAAGAAATACAGTGATGGTGATGCAGGATGACACTGAGGGCCAGCCTCTGGCCTTCACACGCATGTGCACGAGCCCCTTTCCACATGCACACGCACAAACTCATGTACTCACGCTTTGTGTGTTGATTACTTTGGTGTGATGTGTTTGGTGAGGCTTTGTGTGAAGAGGCCAGCCCTGCCTCTAGGCTGTGCCTGTTGTACCCTGAGGAGCACTTCTGATGGACAGGGGCCCCTCTCTGCCCACGAGCCCCCCTTGTTTTGCAGAGGAAGTGCTGTCAGACAAGGAGCCGATCCCAGACAAGCTGGAGCCGAGCCCGAGTCAAGGCAGCGATTACAGGCCAGGTGGGCGCCTTTTCCTGTGCCCTGCCTTACGCCTCCTGGTCAGTCTCCCAGGTGCTGTCCCCAGGCCCCGGTAGGAGCCAGTGGACAGGAGTCTGGACTTGCAAGTTCCTCCTATCAAGACACCTCTTTTTCCAGGGGACAGATTCCCTCCCTCCCACCTCCCTCCTTACCCCTCCTGTCACCCCAGTCACCCAGAGAGGGAAAGGCACTGGTCATAGAACATTTGTAGCTCAGTATTTTACACATGAGCTGTAGAGCGGCCACCCTCTGGTCAGAGCCCTCGGGCATCAGTCATCTCTGAACTTGAACTCTCCCTCCCTTCATGGTGCTCTTCTGCCCTTTCCTGAGGTTGTTCTAGTGTGGTGGGGGAGGGGCACTAGGGCCTGGAACCTGCTCAGGATGGAAAGAGAGGACCTCTGGCCCTTTCCTTTCAAGTCCCCATGTGTGACGACTGGACCGCACGGAGGACAGACATGTCCCACTTATCTTTGAGGCTCCCAGTGTATGGCAGGAAGAGGGCTTTGGGCCTTCCAGGGGAGACAGTGAACATGGCCTGTCGCCTCCCCACCAGATGACTCCAAGGCTGAGGAGAAGGAGCCCATGGAGACACAGCAAAATGGTGACAGAGAGGAAGATGAGGAGGGGAAGAAAGAAGACAAGAACGGGAAATTCAAATTCATGTTCAACATTGCAGATGGGGGCTTCACAGGTACTGAGGTGGAGCCGTGGACAGGGACTGGGCTGTTGGTACCACTTCCCGGGAGTCTGGGCAGATGGCAATTTTATACTGGGATGTGAACGGTTGACAACAGTCTGTTATGCCCCTCTTAACAATACTGGAGCAATGTACCTCTGAGGCCTGGGTGACGGCCGGTGCTGAGCAAGCTTGTGCATATGCCAGGGTGGGGGAAACCTTTTATTCTGCTCACATTGGTTTCTTTCTTCAGAACTGCACACACTGTGGCAGAATGAGGAACGGGCTGCTGTGTCCTCGGGAAAAATCTATGAAATCTGGCACCGCCGCCATGACTACTGGCTGCTGGCAGGCATTGTGACGTATCCTTGGTCAGTCAGGCTGGGATGACACTGGTCTGTCTCTCTGGTCCTCAGGGGACCTACAGTCCCTAGGGAGGACCTTCCCTCATCTCCCAGCTCCTGGTGATTGCCTATAATCTTGACACTCCTCCGCTAGCCTCTGTGACTATCATATTCTGTTGTCATATGTCTGTCTGTCTGTGTCTTTCCCCCAATCAGCTTTCCTGATGCAGTACACTGGGATCTAGGCTCTCCTTCATCTAGTCTGATCCCTCCTTGATCACATCTGGATCAAAGCCACATTTCTAGGCTTCAGGGGTTGAGACTTGCATGTGTCCCTCTGGGGTGTTGGGATAGAGTCAACACTCGAGGCCTCAGTGCCCTTCCTGGCACCTGTCATTGCCAGCTAATGTCACTGTTGTCATTGTGACTGGTGTGCTTGTCTTGCAGCTGAGTCTTTGACTTGCCAGACAGCAAGCTGGGAACCTGGTTGCTCCCACCTCACCCCTGCTGTCAAGCCCCTCATTCCTGTGGCCGGCTTTGCCCTTAACTGTACCCCCAGGCATGGCTATGCCCGCTGGCAGGACATTCAGAATGATCCACGTTACACAATCCTCAACGAGCCCTTTAAATCTGAGATCCACAAGGGCAACTACTTGGAAATGAAGAACAAGTTTTTGGCCCGCAGGTTCAAGGTAGGCCCTCAAGGGTATCACTTCCCCACCCATCCCTCTACCTAAACCTGGGCCGGGCTCTCCTCTGAGGAGTCAGTCAACCCATGCAGGCCAGGCCCCCATGTGTGAGCATCCGCCACTGTCCAGGGGATGGGATTGGAGAGCTCAGTTTGCAGAAGATTCCTAGGGCCGGTAGATCGGGCTAGGAGGGAAGTAGGAGGCCAGCCCAGAGCCTCAGCTTCAGTGGGTGCTGGTGGGAGCAGAAGGGGACAGGCCAGAGCTGTCACTTCACCCCCCCCAGCTGCTGGAGCAGGCACTGGTGATCGAGGAACAGCTCCGGAGGGCTGCGTACCTCAACATGACCCAGGATCCCAACCACCCAGCCATGGCTCTCAATGCTCGCCTGGCAGAAGTGGAGTGCCTTGCTGAGAGTCACCAGCACCTATCCAAGGAGTCCCTTGCCGGGAATAAGCCTGCCAATGCTGTGCTGCACAAGGGTGAGTGAGCCCTGTTCTTTACTTCTGGTAGCACAGCCCACAGCCACCGTTTTGCCCAAGGAACATGCTTGGCTTCCAGTGGAGGTGCTGATGGGAAAGGTCCCTAGAGGGTGAGGCCTCTGGGGCCAGAAGGGTACAGTTCTGTTCTCGCACCACATTTCACCTGCAGGGAAACGAGTTTCCCCCTTTTAAGTCCTTCACAGAAATGCCAACAAGGAGGGCACAGGCTGAGGTAGGTGGCACAGAGGTAACGAGATTGGAGGTCTCACTGATGCTCACACTACTGTCCTGCACAGGGGTCAGCGAGGCCTGTGCTTGCAGGACTCCATCTTAAGTGTCTCCATCTTGGGGAAAGAGCACTGGAATTTAGAAAGGGGAGCAATGCCAAGGCCCCCTTGACTCTTGCTCCAGATCTCTGCTCTTCTGGTCTGGGGGCTCTCAGTATCACTGGGGGCAAGGAACAGCCTAGAGTGGAAAGGGGTACGGCTAACACTTTGCTCACAAAGGTCTGGACCATGATCTGTCTCCAGCTGTGGCTCTAGGCCTAGTGGTCACTAGGCCTAGTGACCTAGTGTTAGATGGGGTTGCTGGTCATCCAGAGAGGGAATCCAGGATCAGGTGTCTGGAACTCTTTTCTGCCAGGAGGGGCCCCCGGAGTTTTTCTTGCAAACCCTGTTTCTCCAGTAGGCAGTCCTGGGCTTCCCAGGTTGAAGAGCCGGGTGAGGGATGCCCCACAGTGTGTACTTTTGGGTGTGTGCTGTGAAGTATGTAAAGGGCACCTTCCTGGCCGCTACCTGTGTGGCAGCTGTGGAGGGCAGACCACGCCCTCCATTCTTAGGCCCTCCCACCCTGCAGTCCTGAACCAACTGGAGGAGCTGCTGAGTGACATGAAGGCAGATGTGACGCGCCTGCCCTCCATGTTGTCACGCATCCCCCCGGTGGCTGCCCGTCTGCAGATGTCCGAGCGCAGCATCCTGAGTCGCCTAACCAACCGTGCTGGCGACCCCACCATCCAGCAGGTCAGGTTTGGCCTGCACACTGCATCGTGGGCCTGAGTCCTCCCTGTTGTACGGGGTGGGTGACCTGGGCTGGGTAATGTTCTGGTTGTTACCTGTAAAGCTGGTCCTTGCCTCCAGGGCGCTTTCGGCTCCTCCCAGATGCACAACAGCAGCTTTGGGCCCAACTTCCGGGGCCCTGGACCGGGAGGGATTGTCAACTACAACCAGATGCCCCTGGGGCCCTATGTGACTGGTAGGTCCCCATCCGCTTCCGGGCAGCATGCACACAGTGGCCCTCTGGGGCCCAGCCTGCCCGTGGCTGGGGATGCCAGGCAAGCCCATGCTCTGATCTCTTCTTGGCAGACATCTAGTCGTCCTCGTGACATCCCCCTGTTGCAGCGCCCCTTTCCAGCTGAGGTGAGGGGGCTTGCCGGCCACGCCACTGTCCCATACCCTCCAGTTTGTCCCATCTGTGCACTTGATTCACGCCTCTGAGCCTTGGAGTCTTAATGTTTCTGGTAGCTTTGAGTCACATTGTGGCTCTGTGTGTGTGTGTGTGTGTGTGTGTGTGTGTGCGCGCGCGTGCACGCTCATGTGGACATCTATGTGTTGTGTGTGTGTGTGTGTGTGTGTGTGTGCGCGTGCACGCTCATGTGGACATCTATGTATGCATGCGTTCTTAGCCATGTGTCAGGGATCACTGCTCCCAGCTTGGAACCCCTGTTTGCATGGTAGTTGGCCCCAGGGAGTTGCTGCTTGTCTTATAGCCTCATTCTCTGGTTAAGACCAGGGGAGGGAATACCTGAGGGGCTGAGTGTATTAAGAGCTTTGGGAGTGGAGATGGGGGATTCAGAGAGGTCATCAGTCGTGATGGCTGTCACCAAGTCCTGTCCCTGTATGGTAGATGCAAGGTCAGAGGAGGAGCCTGCTGGATGGCCTGTGATTGGGGGGCGGGGGATCTTAATTCCCGAATTCCCTGTGATCATAATTGTAACCACTGTGGACAACTGGGTGCCTCTGGATACCTGGCCACCCAGTCATATAACTCACTGGTTTGCCTTTTGCAGCCGGGCCACCTGCCCAACCCCCATGGGAGAGAAAAGCTACAGCCCTTTTAGGAGTTGGTGCCGTGTTGGGATACAAAAGGGAAACCAAGCAATTCTATCACGCAGAGGACAAGGGCCAGCCTGGCTGCACAAAAGCCCAGAAATGCCACCTCATCATAGTTGAAGTATCCTTCTGCACGGCGTCCCACCCACGGCCATGCTGGGCAAGGCCTGGCACCTTTGCCAGAGTGACTTACTTAGAGGAAATCCCATTCACCTGTACTTTTTTTGCACTTTCCTACCGAAGATGCGAACGTGTTTGTCTTGATAAAAAGTTGGATGACGTGTGGAAGATTCAGACTTGCAACACTCCTGTCTGTCACCCAGCTCCAGACCTCAAGGGGAAGTTCTCTGGAGGCCCCTGGCGCTGCTCTGTGGACTCATCCCAGCTGGGGAGAAAGCAGCATCCTGTGTTCTGGAAGCCCTTAGTGTGTCCCCTGCTGTCTGAACCTGTGTGACTACCCTTCTGCTCTGGCCCCCTGCCTACTTGGGACCCTAGCGTTAGGAGGGATCAGGTCTGGAGAGTGGCTGCCTAACCTGGTGAAGCCTGGGCTGGGGTTTTCTATCTCCTTCCTACTGGGGTTAGGGACCACCAGGTACATTTCATGTGCTGGCAGGGGCACACATCTCAAAGGCTCTGGGATCTGTTGTTGCCAGTGGACATGTGGAGGCCCCAGCGATGTGTGGGAGGTAGAAGAAGGTGCCTCAGAAGGTGAGGCAAATATGGGCCAAAGGCCCTACAGGGGCTTCTGGACATTTACTGTTTGCGGGAGTGTGGTGTAGGCAGGTGGGAGCCAGTGCTCCAGGAAAGAGGGTCATGTTCGTTGTGTGACCCTGGGAGACTTGTCCCACTCACCTTGGCACACATCCTGGGTTACAGATGTCAAGGAGCCAGGCCCTCCTGGGGATGGACTTTTCTCTGTTCTCTTGGTCCTAGAGAGGACTTGGCTAGGGCAGCGGCTGCACGAAGTAAGGGCCACAGTGGCCCTTGCTGGTTCTCAGAGGGTGTGGGGAGAGCTGTGCTTGGAGGTGGCTTCTTTAGATCCTTCCTAGCTGGAGCCTCTGAGGCTTCTGGCCTTATTTCCTGCAGGGTTGCCTTGGAGTGGCAGGACCATCTTCCACCTCAGTGTTGGCATGTCAACCTGTCTTGCTCCACCCTAGCCCATAGCACGGTGTAACACTCCATGCTGGGGTATGGGTGGGGTAGATCTGCTCTTGGCCTATATTCGACCTTCTTGATGGCCCTGGCTCAACCCAGAGACTTGCAAGCTCTTGCCTTGGCGCTTCCTAGGCAGGTGCCCTGGGGTTCAGTATACCCTGAAGATGAGGAAGGGACTTCTGGGGAGAAGCCCATTGGGTCTGAGGTCAGGGAGCTTGGAGCAGGTTCAGAGTCTCCTCCAGGGGAAAGGAGTGAGGGGTACACAGTGTCTCTGGGCCCGCCAAGAACGGGGCAGGTCTTCACGGCCTGTCTTAAGGACACTTGGGCAGTTGCCCAGCTTTTACTTGGCCCAGATGTGCACATCTGTAACGTAGTTCCTCCCCTCTGAACCCACGGAGGGCTGGACCCCCACGGCTTCTTTCATTGTGGCAACCCCACACTTCAGTCTCTCTCCAAATCTCAAGGCCAGCGGACTGGCTGGACACTGTGGGTAGGCAGAGGGGGACTCTGGTCATAGACAGGACCTCTGCAGGCTTAAGCATGCCCGTAGGTCTCCAGGGTGTGCATCATGGTGGCTGACTCCAGTCTCTAAGAAGGGCTGTCCCCTGCATGGGAGTGGCTGCCGTCAGCTTGTTCCCCAACCCAGGACCCCCGTGCTCATCCCACTGGGCAAGACAGTCACTCCTGCTGGCCACATTCAGAACAGTGCTCACCTCCTTTGCCCCGGGTGACAGATCCTGACACTTGTGTCTGGAGGCACAAGTGGGACAGAGACAGGCCTGTGACTCTGTTTCAAGGGTTCACCTTTTCCCTGACGATGTCTCCCAGGAGTCTTGCTCTGTCCCTCATCCCCACTTCATCCTACGCCGCCTTGGCCTACTCCTCTCCATGGCCACTTTGACCTGAGCCCCCTGATGGCCGGGGAAGGTCTATGTTCCCCATGGCCAGCACTTGGGAGGTTCTGGAGGGTAGACTGCCCAGGCAGCTGGGGAGAGGAAAAAGGCCCTTCAGGGTGTTCCTATCTTGGTCCCTCAGCCATCTCCTGCCAGAGAGTGATGGAGGAGAGGTGGCATCTTGAGGTTGGCTCTGGTTTTCTGCAGATGGAATTGGGGTCCCCATGCCCAAGCTACCAAGAGCCACGGTGACAGCATTTTCACACGCTTTGATTCACTCAGCTCTGTGGGATTTCTGTGGAAGGTGCAGGCGGCTCTCAGGTGACACAGGGAATTTGGGTCGGAGCTCCAACATCCGAGGGCACCCCATGCACTCCTGTGCACGTCTGTGAAGTGCCTCCTCCACTTCCTGTACCCCAGGGTCACCTGTGAGCCTGGGCTCTCTCCCCCACCCTCTGGGTGCTCCCAACCCATATAGGTTCATAGGCTCAGTGACACCTGCAACCACTCTCCTAAGTCTTGAGGCCCTGCAGGGGGCATGCTGAGGGTGAGCTAGGGGGGGCAGGCGTTGATGCTTGGAGCCTCTAGTGTGTGCCAAGGAAGGGGGATGGGGGCCTCGGCTGACTCTCCCTCCACCTTAACTGCCTAGGCCTGCCCTATGCAGAGCACAGCATGGAGGAGGAAGCTAACCCACCCAATTTATATACCCGGAAGTTTACAGGTTGTGGTGCGTCAGCCCAAAGTCGTCGGTGTCCTTGTGTTTAATGGATATTTTCCCTCTTAATTTTCAGATTTTTTTTAAACAAAGTATTTTTTTAGGTGCGATAACCCGGAAAGGGCCTGTTGGGTGTGTGTGTACGTCCTGAACTCTCCACATAGCCACATAGGGACCAGAGCCCAGCTCAGAGGCAGCTCCTCCACCCAGCCTGGAGAGGAGGGAGGGCCCTCTGCTGCCTGCCAGGGTCAAGCTAGACTCTCCAGGGAGTTCTCTTCCTGCCCAGGCCAGGCCAGCATCTGTCGCACTGGAGCCCCATCCAGCACAACCTGGTGAAGCAGGAGCAGGCACTTGGGGCTAGCTGGGGTCCCAGGGGCATATACCCCAGCTCCTTTGAAGGCTGTCCTGGGGGAGGCTGGACAGGCTAGCCAACTGTTATTTTCACTCGTATTCTGTGTATGTTTTGGTTTCTGTGTTTTAATAAACCCTTTGGGAAGGGACGGAATTGTTGTAGTTCTTCTTAGCCTCGCTGATTTGGAACAGGGATGTGCTGAGTGGCAGGGGAGGTGAGGTGAGGCCACTTTCCAAGCCTTCTACATTTATGAGCACCTGTGGCTCACAAGGAAGGAGGGGAGACCCCACCAGCAGTGTGCTGGCGGATGCACCTCACACACATTGCAGCCACCCATGTACTTCCTTCCCCAAACCCGTCAACATGAAGACAGCAGCTGGTTCCTCAGGGCCTGGAGTTTCCCAGCCATCAGCCCTGGGCCTTACGTGGTGTCAGCAGAGATGTGTATATGGGGGGGAGGTACCTGTATCTCTCACCAGCCTCAGAGATGCCATCTGGGAGAGGTGGGTGGGTATTTTGACCGACCCATCCCATCTGCTCTGAACTTGGATCCTTACTTCCATCTTGTCCTCGGCTGTAGAGTTGGGTTTATGGGTGGGGAACCCTGCGGCTGATGGCTTTGCCCTCCCTCCGGCACTGTCTCTGAGAAAGCGAGAGGACAGAAGCATGGAGACCGAAGGGCTCGGGTTTTATTTGTCATTCCATAAATACGGGCTGCGCCTCCGTCTGAGTCTGTCCGGAAGCTGGAGGCGCTTGCGGTCGGCCTGGTGGGATGCAATTAGCAAGGAGCCTCGCTCATTAAAAAATGGGGAGAAAAAGCACATTATGTACATGACTGGGATGAGCAACAGCTGGGCTCCATGTGCCAGGTCCCCCAGACAGCCCCCTCCTGCACCAGGCCCGGATGGCTGTGATTCAAGGTGAGAAGGTGTTGGAGGCTGGCTGGGGCTGACCAGCAGGCAGCTGGGGCTGGAGGAAGGGGAGATCTGTGGCCATGGAGGAAGGAGCTAGCCTTAGACTCTTCAAGGGCCAGGAGCAAGCTTCCCCATTATGGGCTGCCTGAATGTGTTTTCTGTGGTACCCCAAGCCCCTCCTATCCAAACCCCTCCATGGAGGCAGATGATCCTACCCTTAAGCGAAGCCCCAACTCCTCAAAAGTGGGTAAGGAAGAAAACATCTCAGAAACACTTGCCTGCACCTAGGGCTCATGTGGGTCTTAGCCCAATTTACCCTGCAGCCTGTCTTCATGTCTCTTGCACACACCCAGCAGGGGCTTTGCTCTGAGGTCTGGCCATGGGTAGTAGCAACTCCCGCTGTGGGTGCCCCTGCATGCCTGGTCCACATAGCAAGCAGGCCTAGGCCAGCTGTGTGGACAGGGCTGGCTACTTCCTGCTGGGCCATTGCAGGGCCCTGTCCTGAAAGCAGGGCTCCTCTAGCTGGGCATGGAGGTGCCAGAGCATAAAGGCTTCCATCCCCACCCACAGGGCTGCTTCTGAGGTCTCAGGGCTTGGGGCTACGAGAAGTGGTGAAGGTCTGAGAGCCCAGGGTCTGTGGTGGGGGTGTCTGAGAGACAGGAAGCTGCCCACCCTGCCTCAGCCTCTGCCCAGCTCTGGCTGGACAATAGATGGTGAAGAGCAGCAGGAAGGAGACTTGGAACAGCAGCTACACTTCAGAAGCTGGGTTCTGTGACCTAGGATGTATGCCTGGGGACTGGCCACTGCCTGTCGGGGCAGGAGGCTTTAGTCTAGGGAGCTGCACATGGGTAGGACCCTGTCCCCAAAGCATCACAGGATTTGCACTGCTCAAACCTGTAGGCTTCCTGGTATCACCTGTATCACCTGTCTCGCTCCCACTGCTAAGAGGCTGCGTATCCTGCCCTTTCTCCCTCTCTGCAGCCTGTCCTAGGCCAGCATGGCGGCATGCAGCAGGGGATGAGTAGTCCTGGCCATCTTTTCAGGAAGAGGTCCCCGGGGATCTTTTCTTACAACCTGGGAACTGTTACTGGGGTTCTGTTCCCACAGTCCCTTAGCTTGCAGCAACAGAAACCCCAGGGAGTTGGCTCACTGAAAAGCTCCACCATGCCCTTTCCAGGCAGAGCCCAAGTCACAAGCCCACTGATCCAGTACAACAGAGGTATTCATTCGAGGAAGCTCTGAGAGGAGTATGGGTTTATGAGCCTGGGCCCAGTCTGCTGCTACCTGCCTGTGGTGTGGCTAGGTACCACGCTAGTCTGCAGGTCTCCACAGAGGGGCACTCTCCAATGGGCTCCACCCAAGCCTACTGGGCTTCCCTGCTGTGGGGCTCAGCAGTTGTATGCAGGGTGGAAGATGCTGGGAAAGCCAGATGGGATCCCTGCCCCTGCCAGCAAGGGTAAGGGTGGAGGCCAAGAGCCAGCTAGGTCAGTATAATCCCAGCCAAGGCCCACTGCGCATGAGGGGGAAGGTCAAGGCCTGGAAAGAGCGTGACCCCAGGCCAGCCTTGAACAAAGTGCCTGATGTCCAGGAAAGAGGGAGACCCTGCCCTAACCACCAGGATCTGGCAGAAGAAGGGGTGCTAGGAAGTGGCAGACCCCTCTTTGGAGGCAGGGGTTCTTGGCAGAGAGGCCAGCCCTGCCTTCTCTGAGGATTATATTTCCACTCGGCCATGACTTCTGGGATCTCCATCAAGGGCCATGGCTGGGGGCAAATGTTCCTTTTTGAAAGATAAGCAGAGGTGGTAGGCTTGGGTGGGAGCCTCTGAGTGTCTTCCCTAATCGATGCCATCTCCTGGCACCCATCAGACAGCATCCAGTGAAGAAGCAGCAGCAGGTGGCATCTGGCGGTGACTTTGGAGATCATTTCCTGGTAATGTCTGGGCATAGTGTTTTCCCTTGGATACAAACCACATTCTGCATTTGGCTTTGAAACAGCAGAAGCGAGCGAACAGAGACGAGGAGGGGACCGGAAACTGTCCGAGCGGGTGGTGGGGGCGACTTAGGATCTATAGTCCTTTTTGCTGTAGGGTTTATTGCCCAGAATGCTATCGATCTCGTGGATGATGGAAGACGACAATTTTGGAAGGACCTGCATGCAAAGATAAGAGTCTAGCCTGGCTTGAAGGAGAGGTGGGTGATCTCCTAGCATCTCAAGGCTGTTACTCTGTGCCATTTGTCAACCAGTTCCACTGGCCTCATCTTCTCACCTGCCTGGAACCCAGACTTGGTTCCCATCATTAAAGCCTATCAAATCTTTTGTCCTGACCTTGGCCTCCATCCACACCAAGAGCAGAAGCCTTCTAAAAGCTCATCCGGGGCCTTCCCTGCTCCATGTCAAACCTCCTGGGCTTCATCTTACCCATGTCCCTGCATGTGTGCAACTCCAGCCCTCTGGACCGCCTGTTCCCCCAAGGGTTCTTTGCCGAGTGGCTGCATAACGCCCCTGGATCCTTCCTGTCCCTTTGAGTTTGTTTAAAAGCTCTTTTCTTTACAGGCCTCCTGGGTCTCTAACGCCTTTGCCCCACCCCCACCCCGGCGCATTTCAGCATCCTCGCCTGGATGGCCTCTCTTCCCACAGTGGTGGTTGCCTCACCACACTCAGTCTTACAGTGTTTATGTCTGTTCCTGTGGGGAACAGGCCCTCTGCCATCCCTGTATGCCCTGTGCTTCTGGAAGGGTGCTCAGTGAGGCTGTGTACCCAGGAAGACTGGAGGTACCTGAGCCCGCCACCAGGGCCCACTCTCACCTGTATTGCGCCAATGTTCTCCATAAGTTGCTCTGCACTGGAAGCACCCAGAAGCACAGAGCTGACGCCCTCGTTCCTCAGGCACCAGGCTGTGGGCAGCAAGACCAGAGGTGAGGGAGATGCCTTCTGCAGGGCCTGCCTGGCTACACCTGGGCATAGGCACTCAAGCCCCCATCTGGGCTGCTTGGATGCTTACAAGGCTCAGAGGTACCCAGTGAGTTTGCCCAAGGGGGTATCTAGAAGAGGCGGGAGCTCTGACCACATTCTGATGGACAGGTGGTCCAAGTGCTTAAAGATCCTGTCCCCATGACCACTGGTATAGCCTAGGCCCCCGGGGACCTTAGAACAGGTGCCCCCCATGTACCCAGAGCCCATTACCTATGGCCAGCTGGGGGAGGGTGCAGCCTAGGCGCTCGGCGATGGCCTGCAGTTCCTTCAGCTTGGCCTGCTGGCGCCGGCCCTCCTCACTTAGGATCTTGTCCTTCAGCCACTGGTAGCCCTGGGAAGGGACAAGTTCCAGGTAAGGGAAGGTCACTGGACCTCCAGATGCAGGTAGCTGATTCTCCCCAAACAGCAGCTCTGTTGTCACCTGGTCTCACGCTTGCACTGGGCCAGACTTAGACAGACCCTTCCGTATCCTGAGGGACAAGGTTGTGGTGGACGGACTGGAGCCCGGGCCAGAGGCACAGGGTGCCTTTGTCCCTGAGGAGCCTCCTTGGGCTCAGGCTTGGGAAAGTCAGATCTAGAGTCGGGGCTCAGAAGTCTTGTCTCCCAAATATGGTCCCCCTCATGCTTCTTGGGTGTACAACAAGGGAACAGGATTTGATGTGGGGCCAGCTCTGTGCCCTGGGGTCTCTGTGATGGCAGAGTGGGGAAAATCACGGGAAAGGGAGCACAATCTAAGGCAATATTGGAGCAACCCATACTGTGATCGGTGACCCATGGAAGGGGCTAAGGTGTGTGTGGGGGTCATGGCCTGCTTATCCGGGATCTGTCCCTTGGGTGGGAGGCACTTACAGAACCAGGCCTTTATCTATGTTCTTATGCCAAAGGTGTCCCTCCCCATTCCAGCTGGGCTCACCTTCAGGGAGGCTCTGGAGTAGGGCGGGATGCCACTGTCATACTTTCCTGAGACAATGCCACAGGCCAGAGGGGACCAGGTCATGGCGCCCACTCCTGAGAGAGAGAGAGAGAGAGAGAGAGAGAGAGAGAGAGAGAGAGAGAGAGAGAGAGGAGAGACCAGGTGAGGTTATGCTGGGGCCCTGAAGGTAGGGAGGAGTGGGTGAAGCAGGGTAGGCTGACACCCACCTATCTTGTGGAACAGCTCTGGCAGCTGGACCTCCACCTTCTCTCTCTGGAACATGTGGTATTCAGCCTGCTCACAGATGGGTGGGATCAGGTTGAACTGCCGAGCCACCGAGTAGGCCTCCTGAGTACAGAAGGAGACCGCTGCATCAGCAGACCCGAGGGCCACAGGGTCAAGGATACAGGGACATCCCAGGTCTCGCTGCTCCTTCTACTCCTAGCCTTCCTGAGAGTCTGAGGCAGGCACCATGGGAGCCAGGAAAAGAGGGCGGGCTTTGGAATCCTAAGACTTAATGGCTCTTGGAGGAATCACAATGTAGTAAGGCCGGTAGTAATCCCAGTGCCAGAAGGGATTACGATGCCTCAGTTTCCCCATTTGTCATAAGGTTCCAATGAGCCAGGGGTGTCTGTAGTCCTTCCATTATGGCCCGGCTTATGGCTGGCACTCAAGGCCCTGGACCTATGATGAATTTGGTGGTTGCAAAGGCCTTTCAGAGGCAACAGCTGCACCAGCTCATTATGGATCAGGAGCTTGGGCCCTGGCTTAAAGTCACTCTCTCAATGGATGGGATGAACTCCAGCTATTGCCTGCAGACAGTTCTGTGATGGGGACAGGCCTGCCACTGAGAGAGGCTCTGCTCCACTTTGGTCTGAGCCTTGGCTTCCTCATCAACAGAGTGGGGTGATGACACTAACATGTTTCTGAGTCCTGTACTGGCTGTGGGTGGTCAGTCAGATGTCTGACACAGGCTCACTAATCCACTCAAACACCGTGTTATGCCAGGGGCTTCTGAAGTCCCCTGGGATTTGGGAAAAAATTCCTGTTGCACCACAAAGCAGTAGTGTGTGGCTCACTGAAGCTACAGCAGTGCTGTATGCCTGGAATGCTGAGACACCGGGCATGGGCAGGGGTGAGGCTGGATGTGGAGTGGAGGCAGGAGCCTGTCAGGAATGAGCATTCACTATCTCCCTGCCCTCAGGCTTCAGGATGGAGGCAGCCTCTCCATCTGGGGTCACTCCCTTCTGCGTCTTTGAGGACAGGGCCACCTTGCTGACTCTTCCTGGGAACCTCAGAGATGCTTAGGGACACAGGCTGCTCTAGCCTCTTTAGGCTCCAATGGAAAGAGAAGACAATTACTGGGGTGCTTTCCTGAAAAGGCACCGTAGGCTCCCACCTGCGTTGTCTGGGAATCAATGTCTTGACCTAAACTGTGATCTTGAGCATGGGACTTAACCCCTCTGTCCTTGACTTCCCCATTTGAAACAGAGGGTAGCATCGCCATTTCCCTGCTGTGGTTCTGGAGAGGTTAAAGGGCATCGGCTCCTGGGAAGCCCAGAATAAATGGCACATAGCACAGGAACCGAGGGCCATGTCATCAGGGTAGCCCTTTAGATCCAGAGGGCAAGCCATCCGTCCAGGGCCACGTGCTTTGCTGCGAGGGAAGCCGAGACCCTTGCCCATGACCACACACCCTGCTATGCTGTCCTTTTGAACACATGTGCCGAGTCTTGGGGTCCCCTCCCACAGGGAACCCATGCCTGTGGACACAGGGCTTCACCCTACCATGATCTCCATGGAGCTCCAGCGTGACGTGCCCCAGTACATGGCCATCCCCTGGTTGATGACGTGGGTCATGGCCCGCACGGTCTCTGAAAGAGAAGGGAGGCCAGGGTTGGGGCAGCTGGGGCTCAGGCCCAGCCTGGGGACGGTCTGCAGATGCAGGTGGGGTGCCAGGAGGAGGGAGCAGGCTGCAAAGGCGTCTTGCAAGCAGTGTACTTCCTGGCTCCCAGAGTCGAGTGTGGGTGCTGGGCAGGGGAGATTCCAGGAGAAGAGAAAAACGGAATTGAAATCCTGGGGAAGAGTTCTCTGACCAGGTAAGGCTTGTGGAGATCCTGGGGAAAAGGCTTGTGGGTAGCCCGATGTCCCCATGGCTGGCTCCGGGGGATGAGGGAATGTGAACCCCAAGAGTGGGTCTCAGACTCTAGGATGAGGAAGTAGGAATCCTGGTCACTCAGGGGGACCATCTGGAGGTATAAAGGCTATAATTAGACAGGCCAAGCCTGCAAACACAGCTCTGCTAGCTACTGAAGGCTGTTCTCACCGGAGTCCTGAGGACTTCACTGAGAGGGAGGATGGTGCCTGTAGGGACAAAGGCAGGGCCTTGAGGCTGGGGCTCTGGGGGACAGTGTCTCTTGTTCCTGTGTTTGGGGAGCCAGAAGCAAAAGTGGAAAGGTTTGGGCAGACCATGCCCGGGCTGGAGTCTCTCTCAGCACAGGCTAGTCTCAGGATGATGGGGATGGGAGGGTGGTTTAATTGTCCCTTCTGTGAGGAGCCAAGGTCTGGAGCAAACAGTTGTGAGGTTCCACAAAAGCTGAGACTTAAAACCACCTAAGGAGTGAATGGCTGAAACATCCCCCACCCCATCTTCTTCTGGGCAAGAGCAGAACTCTCCCCACTCCAACAGCAAACGTTTTATTGTATTCAAGAGTTTGGGGGCATAAAAATCTGTCCAGTTGAAAGTATAAAGGGGACCGGATGGGAAGAAGCAAGGGGTGATGGGGGTGAATGTGATCAAAACACAACACATACACGTAGGAAAATGTCATAGCAAACCCATTTTTATGTGTGGGTAATATGAGCTCCCCTAAAAGCCCCGCCACTGGTAGGCCTTCTCCCTTGGCTGTCTTGCCTCTTAGAGATGTGTTGGCTCTTAAAACAGAGCTTGGTCTTGGAGGGGTGAGGGATAGCTCCGTGGATTTCTCACAGGTCTGATACAGTGCTTGCAAGGTCGACAGCCAGAGGCAGGGGAGGAATATAGAGGAGCAAGTGCTTCTAAAAACAGAGGTGGTGACATCGCCTCGCCTCTGAATGCCCCGCCCACCCCACAGCAGAGCTCCCTGGCAGCGGCAGGACTGTGGGAGAAGGAAGGCGAGAGAGTACCAGACCTGACAGCCTGCCTCAAAATGCCAGTGGGTCAACAGTACCCTCCTGGCATGGGACACAGCGCTGGCTCCTGTCTGCCCTGTTTATTTTGGTGGGGGCGGGGAGGGGGAATCTTCTTGCTCATTCTGGGTCCCTAAGTATTGCTTTGGCTAAGGTCTATTTATGGTGGAATCCAGGGCAACCTCATCTCTGGCACTGAGGCCACTGGGGCTTCTGGTGTAATGGTCCCAGTAGGTTTATCCAGAACACTGAGTAAGCCATATCTTACTTCTGCCCCTGCTGCCCGCCTATTCTGAGGTCGGGGATGGGGGTATTTGGAGTTTTCTTTGCCCCACCTAGGTGAGGGAACACATGAGAAGGGAGTTTTGGACTTCTGGGACCTTCCCTGGGTCACTGGCTTTTACTGACAACATGGTTTACATCGGTAAGACGTCAGAACCGGATTGGGAAGTTTCAGGAGACTTATAGGGTCCCAGGGCCCACTCGACAGAGCCCAGGCTCCTGGACAAGCTGCCCTTATTAAGACTTTTAGAAACACTTTTGGAGGCACCTGAGACCATGCAGCACAGTTTCCCTATTCAGCCAAGGCTTAGGTTCACATGCCAGAGATAGGGGAGCCGTGAGCATGGCCCACACCAGTCTCTCTCCACAGCCTCCCCCAGAGCTGCCTGCTAACAGTCATGAAGATCACAGCCAGGGAAACTGCACGATGCCCTTCCCATGCAATGAGGAAGATGGAGACAGTCTAACACCTGGCAATCAGGCTGGTGGGCCAGGAGCCTGGTATGATTGGCTATTCTGAGGGGGAGGGGGACATGGGCACCTCGGGGATCTGAGCAGAGGCAGGCTAGATGTGGAGCATGTGTTCAGGAGCACTGTGCACCTGTACAGAGCACGTCCGTGGACCCAGAAAGTGACACGCAGGAATGACTGTCTTCCACCTCAATAATTAATGCTGCCTGACAGAAACAGGGATGCTAAATCCTTCCAGCTGCAGCCCAATCGCAAATGATACATGGGAGGGGTCAGGTGGCAGCACCAGGTGGCAGCCAGGAGCCCTCCGAGTGTGGAATGCTGCCCAGTTCCCAGGCCTATCCTTGAGGCGGGGTTCTGAGGCCGTTTACTGACGGTACAGTGGGGGCAGATACCAAGCATGGCACAAGGATGCCCCTGGCCTCAGCATTGTGCCAGCTCATGTATATATTCTTCAAGAGAGAGAATCACTCCGTTTTGATCCTGGCTGCCAGATGAGCAGACGTGAGTGGCCACCTGCAGCCAGAGTGCTTACAAGGAACCATTGCGGTGGATGGGGCAGCTTGTTGGCTGGTGTTCTTTGCCTCTGTTGGAGGCTAGAACTTACCAAGCATGAACTATGAAAGAGGTAAGTCTCAGGGGTTGCACAGTCTGGGGTCCCAGGACCTCTGTGGAAACCTAGTCTTTTCCAACCCTTCCCATTACACCATCCAAGGTCAAGTTCCCAGGCAGGGACTGGACCATCCTCAGATCAAGGGAGACCCCGGCAGAAAGCCAGCCGGCCATTGCGGTTCATCACAAGCATGGAGTAGGGGCGGGGGCCATGCACACTGGGAAGGAAGGATGGAATGGCAGCGTGGATGGGCAGCGAGGGGGCTCCAACACCATTTTGCTTTCCCTTTGCTTGCAAGATGTCCTCACGGGGCACTTCCCCACCCCTTATGCATTTTATGGAGAAGTTTGTCATGGGGGACAGAGTCTTGTAAATAAAAATACTGTCTCATAAAATGCAGCTCGGACACAGAAGTCAATAGTCGGCTGAGGGTACTGTGTACCTTCAATGATGAATGTCCTTGACTTGAAGGAACTAAATGGGTCCCCTGGTGATAAAAGAAAGATTTAAAGAGACCAGAGTTTATCGCTGTGGGAACACAGAGGCGTGGTATGATAAAGGGCAGGACAGAAGAGCACAAATCATCCCACAGAACAGAGTTCTGCTGAAAAGAAAGAATATATATATATATACACACACACAGCAGTGTGGTATATATATAAAAGCAAATGGAGACAAAATAACCAGTTCAACTTCACCTCCCAAGTCCCATAAGCAGCAAAGCATAAATGAGAAAGACGCTGAGGCAGGAAGTGGGGGAGATGGAGGGACCGGGTGGAGGGAATAAATAAACGCTAAGGAAACCCAAACGGCTCTTCACAGCACTGAGTGCTTCCTCTCCTTCAGGTAATAACTTACCCCCAGAGCAAAAAAACCTCAAAGCCCTCCCAGGGGAACCAGAATGAAAAGAATAAACTGTCCCCGACAGCCACCACACATGGGGCAAAACACCAACTGCTGAGAAGGAGCTGCTGCTCCGGAACACAGCCAGGTTACAGAATGAGATGAGGGCCCGGGCTCAGCCTGGCAGGGCCAGGGCCCACCCCTCCCCCACTCAGAGGCCTAGCCACCTCTGTCCTGGTTGTCTGGTTATTCGTGACAGTTACCAGAGCCTCAGAGACGACCACTGCTCGCCTGGCTTTGTCCTGCCTGCATGAACTAGCTAGAGGGAACCGGCCGACCTACCTTCCATGGGCGTGTTGGGGTCTGGGCGGTTGGCGAAGACCACATCCACGTAGTCCAGCTGCAGCCGCTCCAGGGAAGCCTTCAGTCCTGGGAGAAGAAGGGGAGGGGTCAGCACTGAGTGTGCCTCTAGATCCCCCGATCCCTGGCTCAGGGGACAAGAGTCAGAAGAGAGTAGGCCCCTGTCCCGGGGAGCTTCAGGGTAGGTGAGGTTCTTGAGGAAATGCCAAGACACAAGGCACATTCTAAAGGGAGGCAGACACCCTGGCCATTCCAGGGGACGTCAGAACCACAGACCAAATGTCCTAAGCCTATAAATCATGCACGCTCCCTGGGCTACTGCCGGGACCTGGTGGTCTGTACTGAAATAACCAGAGCTGGGCATGGTATCACACAGAGGGACAGTACAAAAGGCTGGTGGTATGTGACACACCAGTCACCAACCCACACCTCCCAACAGCTCAGAGAGCCAACGGTCAGGATGAAGACACTGGGCCTGAGGAGGTACCAAACCTCCTCTCCCCGCCCCTGCCCAGTGACGATGTTTCTCATGAAAAATATCACTTAGATCAGAATAAATGTGGCTTAGGAAGAGCTCGCATCCAGCCCCACCCCCCTCTGGGCTGCATGTCCATTATTCCCAACAGCCCCGTGTGGGTGTGTGCTCACACAGTCCTGTTTTCCAGACCTTTTGGCACAAGCTCAGGGAGGTGATGGCTCTCGCCCAAGACCATTCAGACAGCACGCAGCTCAGCCTGGCCTGAAACCTGACCATGTCTGTCCAGGCTTGGCACAGCCTTTGTCCAGTAGCTGGTCTCCTGCGTCTTTTTGGAGCAGGAGGACATGGTCAAAGAAGGGGTCCGTGTGCTCCAGGGTCAAGGCGTGGGCTGACTCACTGAAGGGAAGGTAGGGCCACTACACGTTTTAGCTCTCCTCAGGAGATCACAGGCTGCGCGCACCATGGGGCAGCGCCATGGTTAGCGACCCTCCTCACCTTCAATAATGTGCTTCCGGGAAAGGCCTCTCTCCGTCTCTGCTCTGAAAGACAGATATTGCAGTCGGTTGGGGGGGGGTGATGCTTATGATCACAATGCTAAGAGAAAACGCAGATCAGAATGCGTGACATCTGTGGGTAACAGTTACAGGCTGAGTATCCACGGCTCCCTCCGGTGGATGCCTACACGCTGACCCCAGGGTGGTAGTGGGCACAAGAGCTCTAGGTTTCGATATCACCTTGCTGTTAGGCTTTGATTTATTTATTTATGATGCTTTTGAGACAGGTTTTCCCTGCATATCTCAGGGTGGCCCCAAACTCAAGATCCTCCTGCCTCAGCTTTTCAAGTATTGGGGTTACAGATAGAAGCTCAGCAAAGGATTTTTTTTAATTACCAACAAGTTTTTTTTTTTTTTTTTTTTTTTAATTTGTTTTGAGACAGGGTTTCATGTATCCCAGGCTGGCTTCAAATTTGTTACACAGCCACGGATGACCTTCAACTTCTGAGTCCTCGGCCTCTGAAGTGCTGTAATTACAGACATGAACCACCATAGTTTACAGGGTGTAAGGAGGAATACAGGAGTTCATGCATGCCTGACAAGCACTCTACTGACTGAGCCTCGTTCTCAGCCTATAAATCATATTTATAACCCCCATGAGATGAACTTTGTCCAGCCCTGTAGAGAATATAGAGCCAGACACCTGGAAACTGGCAGTGTGATAGGTGGCCCAGGGACTTTAAGCTGGCTTTGATAGTTCGTAATTCTGTTTCCTAGAATTTTTATAATGTCACCATGTAAGCAAAAATAATAAAAATTAAAACAAGTTTTGAGTAAAAGACAAACTCAGCCAAAGCTGCTTGCAGTTTGGGGATATACCAGTTGGGCGTGAGGTCCCCAGCCTTCAGGTAGCTGAGAAAGGCCAACACCCCCTCCTTCCTCAAGGACAACAGTGTGACCCTTGCCCCAGCCTCACAAGTGGTGTCTCCACAGGGACAGGGGCTACAGTGATCAGCTCCCACTGGGAGCACTGCAAACTGTGGCACTTACTTTCCACCCCAGAAGATCTTGGTGGTGATGACCAGGCTGGACCGTCTGCAGAGTAGAAGAGAGGGGTTACTGGACCTGGCTGGCCCTTGAGGTCTTCCCTCAGCCTTCACCTAGGGTCCTACAGCTGTCCCACCTGGGAGCTTGGTGTGAAATGGGTGTTTCTGAATTGTGAAGTTCTTGCTAGGTGCCAAGCTCAGGGTCTGCAGCCTCAACACTGCAGGCTGGGTATTGGGGTCTGAGAGTGGAGATGTAGAGCACAAGCAAGGGTTTCTAGGGGTGGCTTCCCCATCCTTACGTGTGCTCCTCAGCCCCATGAGGGCCCGCTGAGGCAGGACGGCCTCAAGCTGGACTCGTGATGCTTGCTCTGCTGCCAGATGCGCTGGTAGCTGGCTACCGGCATTGGTATGGGCACTGCCAGCTTATGCCAAAGGAATGATGACCCAGTGTGAGCTTCTCCATGCACACCATCAGGGGCTTTCCCTTGGATTACTGAATTGGAAGAATCTATTTGGGACTGGATCAGTGCCAAGGGGGGAACAGATGGGCTGTGTCAGAAGAGAGAGGGAGGGGGGCTATTAGGAACCCTGTGGTGTGAGGCCTGGTCACTGAGATTTTAAGCGACCGACTATCATAAAGGTCAGGGATGAGGGATGGTCCAGTTTTACCAGAGGCCTGAGGTATATAGAGCAGGGCTCAGCCTAGACTGACAAAGGCAGGGACCTGCTTTCGTAGGCACTTTGGTGCCTGAGTAAGAATGGTCCCCACGGGCTCATGTGTTTCAATGCTTGGTTTCCAGTTCGTGGGACTCTAGGAAGGGTTAGGAGGTGTGGCCTGGTTGGAGATGTGTCACTGGGCTGGGCTGTGAGGTTTCAAAAGCCCACACCAGGCCTGGTCTCTCCCTGGAGGCCTCCAGCATGTGTGGATGAGACATGAGCTCTTAAGAAGTGAGCTCTTAGGTACTTCACCACACCACGCCTGCCTGTGTGCCGCCATGGTTCCCACCATGATGCTGCTGATGTACTAAACTCCAAAACTGTAAGCAAGCCTCCAATTAAATGCTTTTCCTTATAGGTTGTCTTGATCACCGTGTCTCCTTACAGCAGTAGCAGTGACTAAGAAAGGCTCCACCACCTTCTAAGCCCAAGGGACATGAGGGAGTTGGGTGCTGGACTGAAGTCACCCCTCCTCCAGATCCAGCAGGGCCTGACCAGGCTAGACTGGTGATTTACAGACCTAGACAGGAGACCTGCCCCCTGCTCACACAGTGTGCTCTTTATAGATGCAGTGAGCTCCTGGAGGCTGAACTATCTCTAAGGTCCTTGGGCGGGGCAGAGGGGATGGAGTTCAACTGCGAGTTAAAAGTCTTTCACACTTGGACCTCTGTGCGGTGCCCCTGTCATGCCCAGGTCTCCTGGGGAATGCTCATCTGCAGTTCATTTTGGCTCAAGACTGTGTTCAGGAAACCCGTCCCATGAATCTCTGTAGTGGAGGCAGACAAAGGTGTATGTGTGGAAGGGAGCGGGGCTAGAACTAATCACCAACAGCGTCACTTCTGCCTCAAAGATCTGAATTGTGCATCCATCTGGGGACATGGTGAACTCGGGCTCCCTGGCCTTAGCTGCTGGCATGGCACCCTCTGTAGTGTGGAGGCTCACTCCCTCAGAAGCTGCTTCTGTTCTGAGAAGTCCCTCCTTTTTTAGTAGGAAATACTGGGTGACTGGAGATTTCAGCAAGATTGCACAGGAAGGCCACAGGCAGTACTTTCCGTGTGCTCGGCAGGGTTTCACGTGGCTAAGAATGCCCTTGAGTGCTTGCTCCTTCTGCTTCCTGACAGGTGAGTACCACTCTGCCTCTTTTATGCACTGCTGGGAACTGAACCCAAGCCTGGCAAGCATTCTAGCAACATTCCCAGCCCTCGCAATACTCTTGCTATTGCCTAGCCTACTGACCCTTGGAGTGCACTGAATTAACCTCTCTCTCTCTCTCTCTCTCTCTCTCTCTCTCTCTCTCTGTGTGTGTG